TTAGTTCAGTTTGCGATCGTTTTACTAATTGTTTTACCTAATTGGCCCTTATACAACAAAAACCCAGTTAGTTGGATACAAGTCAAATATGAGTTATGAAAATTCGAAGGATCTATTCTTGGGATTTGATTTATCAACCCAACAATTGAAAATTATTGCGACGGATGAGAATTTAGAACACTTAGAGACATTCCATGTCGAGTTTGATGATTTATATAAAGAAAAATACGGAATTAAGAAGGGGGTTATTAGTAACGATGATATCGGTGAAATTGTGTCTCCAGTTGCCATGTGGTTGGATGCGTTGGACCATATATTTGGACACATGAAAGAAGAAGGATTCCCATTCGATAAAGTAAGGGGTATTAGTGGATCTGGGCAACAGCACGGGTCAGTATACTGGTCCAATGATGCTCCTACATTATTGCAAGATTTGAAGGCTGATAGTCCTCTTAGTGAGCAATTGAAAGGTGCATTCACATTTGAATATTCGCCAAACTGGCAGGATCACTCCACCGGAGAAGAAATCAAGACGTTTGAAGAAGCAGTAGGTGGTAGTGATCATTTGGCAGAGATTACTGGATCCCGTGCGCATTATAGATTTACTGGTTTGCAAATTAGAAAACTAGCAGTTAGAACAAATCCATCAAAATATAGAGACACTTATAGAATCTCGTTGGTTTCGAGTTTCATGGCTAGTGTACTTTTAGGAAAGATCACTAATATTGAACAAGCTGAAGCTTGTGGAATGAATCTCTATGATATCAAGAAGAACGACTATGATGAAGAATTGTTATCTTTGGCAGCAGGAGTTCATTCAACTAAAGACGGTGCAACTAAGGAACAAACTGAGGCTGGTGTCTCCGAGTTGAAAAAGAAGTTGGGTGAAATTAAACCTATTTCCTATGAGAACTCGGGGGACATCTCTCAATATTTTGTTAATAAGTATGGATTCAATTCCGACGTTAAAATATACTCGTTCACTGGTGATAATTTAGCAACAGTAATTTCGTTACCTTTGGCACCGAATGATATTTTAACTTCTTTGGGCACTTCTACAACGGTATTATTAATTACTAAGAATTACATTCCATCGTCTCAATATCATTTATTTATGCATCCGACTATGCCAAACCATTATATGGGTATGATCTGTTATTGTAATGGCTCGTTGGCAAGAGAAAAGATTCGTAATTCAGTAAACGAGAAGAATGGTATCAAAGATTCCAAGAGTTGGGATAGGTTTAATGAGTTATTGGATTCTTCTGATACTTTCAATAATGAATTGGGTATTTATTTTCCATTAGGCGAAATTGTTCCAAATGCTTCAGCACAATACAAGAGATGTAAATTAGATGAGCAGAATAAATTGATTAACGTAGATTCTTGGGACGTTGAAGAAGATGTTAGCTCAATTGTCGAGTCGCAAACTTTGAGTTGCAGATTAAGAGCTGGTCCGATGATAAGTGGCTCTGGTTCTGCTGATTCCACCCCTACGCCTGAATCATCGGATTCTCGGAAATTATACAAAGATTTGCATCAAAAGTTTGGTGATTTATACACTGATGGTAAGAAACAAACTTATGAATCATTGACTTCTAGACCGCATAAAGTTTTCTTTGTTGGCGGTGCATCTAATAATATAAGTATAATAAAGAAAATGGGTTCGATTTTGGGACCTACTGATGGTAACTATAAGGTAGAAATTCCAAATGCTTGTGCATTAGGTGGTGCATATAAAGCAAGTTGGAGTTATTTTTGTGAATCAGAGACGAAATGGGTTAACTATGATGATTATATTAACAAGTACTTCAATTTTAAGGAGTTGGATACTATTAAGGTCAAGGATCATTGGGAAGATTACTTTACTGGAATGGGAATGTTAGCTAAAATGGAACAAGAATTAAAGCACGATTAGATTCTCAAAACTGGATTTTTTTTCTCTATATATAAATTCTCACAAAAAATTTCGTCAGTAATAAAATATATGTTTCGATATTGAGTATGATATCTAAGTTTGGACGTATACCACTTAGATTGGTAGGTATCCAGAAATATCGATATTCAACTAATACTCAGTCTCTATCTAATTTGTACAATCAGCTATCTCAAAATGCCCAAGTAGATAAACCACAACTCACAATAATTAATGACATCTTAAAAAATTCACGAATTGAATTTGAACAAAATCAAAACCAGGAGGATATAGACTCTATTCATAATTTAATCAAGCTTGTTAAGTCGCATGAAGGATTGGAAAAAAGTGAAAAATCTGCTATAATTAATAACTTACTTTCATATGGTCTCAAGCATGACTTTTCGTTGTATCATACAGCTAAGAAATTCGATAACCTTAAATGGTCTCCGGATGCATTGATTAGTTTAATTGACTCAAACCCGGGTAGAGTAGATCAGTCTTGGGATTTGTATTTAAGACACGGAAAAGATATCGAGAATGATATGTTATATTCAAAGATTTTAGAGAAATTATTATTAGGCGAAAAAATTGAAATCAGCGATAATGAGTTTGAAATTGATGTTGGAAGATTAGCCAAGTCGTTAGCACTTGTTGATAAACTAAGTTTTCCAGAAGATAATGCTCAACTTGAAATTTTAATAAAGGGTTTAATTGAAGTGAAGGTGCTTTCAGCGCTTTCGTTGAGCCGCTTAAAGAACGAATTTATTGAAAGTAAGTTAATGCAAATGGACTTAGATAACTTGTCGTTCCTTAAGTTATTCAGAATGGTATTCAACAGAAGCCCTGGTATATTACCGAAGGAAGCCTTATGTAAAGCTCTCACGATTTCGCATCAACTTGACGAAAAGTTGGTCAATGAAGATAACAAAATCGAAAAGAAGAACTTCCATATGTTGCGGAACGTGCATGCCGAGATTTCCCAACTGAATGAAGTAGAGTACAGCTCGTTTGATAATGACTCGATAATTCAGTTACGTAAAGATTTACTTTCGTATATTGAGGAAAATAGGTTGGATATGGATAAGACCCCAGAATCGATTCTTATCAGATTGAAATTAATTGAGACTTACGGTATGGATATTGATGATATTAAGTTGGCATTGGCAAAATACCACACATACCAAACCCATGAGAAATTTGGTATTGAATTTATCCAACATAAGCTAATTCAATCATTTTGTTTCCAAGCTATAAAGGAAAACAACGAGCATTACTTGAAAATAGCAGAAACCTTACTTACAGTTGACAACATTCCAATCAAAGTATTACAATGTTACATAATGGCAAATTCCGAGTTTAACATCGATAAATCTCTAGAAGTCTACAATGATTATATTCAAAACGTTTCTAGATCCGTTAATGAACACAGTGGAAGATCACCATCTGGTCTAATGACTGAGTCATTAATGTTATGTAATTTGTATCATAACGATAGAGAGTTCGCTTATTTACTATTTGATAAAGCGATTGCGAAGGGCATATTGTCTGATGAACTTGAAATAGCCACAGTTAAGAAATTATTCAAGGTGTATGGTGACTCATTTGTGGAAGACAATTGGGATGCTGCAAAGCCTATCTTGAAAAAGTACATCTTAGACTCTATTAGGTCCTTGTAAATAGCTTGTATAACAAATAGATCAAGATTATGATATTTGATGCGAAATTACTTAACTTACAAAAAAGGAAATTTAAGCGCTATTGAGTCATAAGTCAGGTGAGCAACGATTCATACTCTAATATATATATTCATTGAAATATTCATTGATCTAGGTTAATACAATACAAGTATAACATTTTTAATAGAAATAATATGTCAAGCCCTGTTACTTTACATTTAAGAGCCGAAACCAAGCCATTGGAAGCTAGAGCTGCTTTAACTCCATCAACTACTAAGCAATTATTAGATGCTGGTTTTAAAGTATATGTTGAAAAGAGTTCCCAATCGACATTTAAAGCTGATGAATATGAAAAGGTCGGTGCTACCATTGTACCAGAAGGATCTTGGAAAGAAGCTCCTAAAGACAGAATAATTTTTGGATTAAAGGAATTACCAGAAGACGAAACCTTCCCATTAGTACATGAACACATTCAATTTGCTCATTGTTACAAAGACCAAGGTGGATGGAAAGATGTTTTAAGGAGATTTCCAGAAGGTAAAGGTACCTTATATGATTTAGAATTTTTGGAAAATGACCAAGGTAGAAGAGTTGCAGCCTTTGGATTTTACGCAGGTTTTGCAGGTGCTGCCATTGGGGTATTGGATTGGGCTTTCAAGCAAACCCACTCTGATAATGAAGATTTACGTGGAGTCACCCCGTACCCAAATGAAGACGAATTAATTGCTGATGTCAAGAAGGTATTAGATGAAGCATTGGAAAAGAATGGAGGCGAATACCCACAATGTTTAGTCATTGGTGCTTTAGGTAGATGTGGATCTGGTGCTCTTGACTTCTTCAAGAAGGTTGGTATTCCAGATGAAAAGCTCATCAAATGGGATATGAAAGAAACTGCTAAAGGTGGACCATTCCAAGAAATTGTTCAATCTGACATATTCGTCAACTGTATTTACTTATCTCAACCAATTCCACCATTTATTGATTACGAAAGCTTAAATGTTGCTGACAGAAAGTTGAGAACCATTGTTGATGTCTCTGCTGATACTACTAACCCGCACAACCCAATTCCTGTCTACAGTATTGCAACTGTCTTTAATGATCCAACAGTCCCAGTTGAAACAAGTGCCGGCCCAAAATTGTCCGTCTGCTCAATTGACCACTTACCATCATTGTTACCAAGAGAAGCCTCAGAATTCTTTGCTAAAGACTTAATGCCTTCATTGTTAGAATTACCAAATAGAGATACTTCTCCTGTGTGGGTCAGAGCTAAGCAATTGTTTGATAAACACGTTGCCAGATTAAATTAAATGTCAATCAACGTACATATATTTTCGCTACTTTAATTACAAATTTCCGTTTATAATAAATATAAGAAATTAAATATCTTGATTAATTATATCTATATTCTACTCTAAGGTAACACTGACCTTTGTCTTCTTATTTTTCTTTCCCTTCTTCTTACCCTTCAACATGACCTTCTTGATTTCTTCACCGTCTGTTTCGTACTCTGATTCCGCATCGTCTTTTTCTGGAATCTCATTGTAACGTCTTTTCATAGTCGAGGATTTTTCAACAGTCTCAGGACATGTTACCACACAGTTTAATCTTTCACCACTATCATAAATAGCCACTTGATCTCTAACAGATTCTGATACGTCCCATATAACAATCTTACCATCGGACGAGACTGATACTAAATACGGAATATCATTTGTTTCAACTGGATGATGGATCAATGATAAATCCTTAATACGATTAGTATGACCTCTTAATGTAAAAACTGGTGAAATGCTTTCAGGTTTGGCTTCCCAGATCTTTTTTTCGTCAGCTTCTGGTTCTCTTTGTGTAGTCAATTGCTCATTGAAATCAAAGAAGTCAATGCATCCGTTACTATGACCTGTAACAAACCATTCCTTTCCTTCTATAGACAAGTCTTCCATACACATCAAAGTCGAATCGAACTTGATCTTTTTAATGATTTTAGCATTCGCAGTTTCGTAGACTAATAATTGGTTTAATAAACCTACCATGAAGTATTTACCATCCTGTGACCACCTTACGTATTCACCACATTGTCCCAAATGATCTCTACCCTTGATTTTCAAAACGGCTGCTTTTTTAGCAGTCATTAAATTCCATAACCTGATAGTTTGATCTTGTGAGACCGAAATAGCAACACGGCCTGATGGATGAATAGCCAAATCATTAACACGACCCTGATGACCTTTTAAAGTACTGAAAGTCTCCCAGTCTTTAGTTCTCCATATTATAATTTTTCCGTCTTCAGACCCAGACAAGAGCCATTTACCAGACTTATCAGTTGACTCGTGTTTCTGTGATTCGTCTGAAATACCTTCGTTGGAGAACTTTAACGTGGTCACAGTCCCCTGGTGACTCAACAAGGTACCTAATTCTTTTCTCTTTTGTAAATCGTATATTCTGATATGCTCATCATTTGATCCAGTTACCAAATACCTCTTTGCTAAATCAATTGATTTAATCGAGAGCGAATGTGCTTGAAAATGAAATACTGGTTGAAAGACCGGCTGAGATTTATTAAAAAGGACAGATAAACACAATAAGTTGTGTTCGTAAGACCCTACCATGATACGAAATTGCACATTCTTAGTTGGTTTAGGAATTTCCGGCTGCTTCTCTTCTTCAGTAACCTCCGCATGTTTTACTTCTTCATCCTTAACCTTTTGGTCATTGATTTTGACCTTTTTTGAACCCTTAGAACCCATATTACAATATCTCTTTTCAATATTTGCAATTACGTCTCATCTAGAATAGTAATCTTTTCTATAGCGATGAGCCAAAAATTCCAAATGTCGCATCTCATCAATTTTGCGACATTCACCATCAGTGGTTTGTTTTGATAATATTTGCGGCAAGCATTATGATCAAGTTGATACTCTAGCGATTCGGTAAAACATCGTATATTATTCATACTGTTAGAACGTCTTAGGGTGAAAGACATTGAAGAACCCAACAAGAGAAGCATGGTGCAGAATCAGAGGACTCCATCACAACATAATTCTACCCTTTTTATTTCACCAGTTATCAATAATCGCCGACAAGATTTATTCATTACTCCTCCAAACCCACCAACAACGTTATTCGATACACCAGGATCCAATCACTCGCTGTTTTTTAATTTAGAAAAGTCCAATTTGCATGAAGAACAGAAACAGGTGCATGATGTCGAACCACTTACACAAGCAGAAAAGTTGAGACTATGGAGGCATGATGCATTGATGCAACACCATTATACCACGGCTGAATACATAGGAGACAAAGTTTTGGCGTTGACAGACGATCCAAATGATGCATTTTGGCTTGCGCAGGTGTATTTTAATAGTGGAAATTATTTGAGAGCAAAGCATCTTTTGACCAGTAAGCCTGAATTTGAAAAGTCTGTCAGTTGTCGATATTTGGCAGCGTATTGTCTATTAAAATTAGAATTATGGGATGATGCGCTCGACTTAATAGGAGAGTCTAATCCATTTAGGAAGGATGATAATTATCAGGTGAGAAATAGTGACGGAGGAATTAAATTGGAGGCATCGATGTGCTATTTAAGAGGTCTTATATATGCCAATCAAAACAATTTTGAAAAAGCAAAGGAATCGTATAAGGAGGCGGTTTTGGTTGATGTCAAGTGTTATGAAGCTTTTAATGAGTTGATATCAAATAATTTAATGACTCCAAGTGAAGAATGGGCATTTATAACTTCATTAAATTATAGAGATGCAGACGATAACGATGAACTTATTAAATTATTATACACAACCAATTTAAGCAAATATTTGAATGTTCAAAAATTTGAAGAAGCAGAAAACATTTTGAAAGACGAATATGATTTGGGAGAGAATTGTGATATTCTATTGAGCAAGGCTGATTATCTTTACGTCCAATGTAATTTTGACGAATGTTTGGCTACCTATGAAAAAATTTTATCGAAGGATCCTTATAATTTCAATGTGTTGCCGAATTATTTGAGTTGCTTACACGAGCTTGGAGGAAAGAATAAACTATTCTTAAAAGCGCACCAATTGGCCGAGAATCATCCTAATAACCCAATGACCTGGTTATCAATTGGGGTATATTACTTATCTATAAATAAAATTATTGAAGCAAGAAAATTTTTCAGTAAAGCAACATTATTAAATCCTAACTTCGGCCATGCCTGGATAGGATTTGCCCATACATTTGCAGCAGAGGGTGAACACGAACAAGCTATTAGTGCGTATGCGTTCGCAGCTAGATTGTTTCCTGGTTCACACTTACCCAATTTATTTTTGGGCATGCAACATCTCCAGATGAATAATTTAAACTTGTCAGAAGAATACTTGATCGTTTCGTCTCAGATATGTAACTCGGATCCTTTGGTTCTAAATGAGCTAGGAGTCATTAATTTTTATAAGAATGATTTGATGAAAGCTGAACTTTATTTCCAAGAGGCGCTAGGAGCTGCTAAACATTTGAACTCAGATTCTAAAATCTGGATTTCGATACACGCTAATTTAGGCCATGTCTTCAGAAAAGGAAATCGCCCTTACAAGGCATTGGAATGCTTCAATCAGGTATTGAAGATTAGCCATACGAATGATTCTAACATTTTATCAGCTATGGGGCTCATCTATTTGATATTGGGAAATGTTTTCAAAGCAATTGACACGCTTCATGATGCACTCGCTATCTCGCCGTCTGATCCAGTGGCTTCTGATCTCTTGAAACGGGCCTTGGAATCTAACAAAACGAATAGTTCGTCATTTTTGAGCCATACCAGCGATAAGTTATTAGAATTGAACATGCCGACGTTGCAATATAGATCCCGGAAAAACAAGTCAAAATCAAGTCTGCATCTTGCTGATATCACAACTTCAAATAATAAGCTTATGACACCGATAAATAATAAGACAAAGAACTTGCTGAACGCGCCAAGACAAGATGACGTGCTTCCAGATAGCTTTACTCTGAGAGAGCATAGTGACCTGGTTGAGGCAGGCGATGTAAACCTAGTTGCGCATGATTTGAGAAAAGGAGAAGAATCTAGTGACGAAGATGATGAAGTAATGGATATAGAGAGTGATTAGTAGTATATATATGGAGTAGTATTAACGAATATAATTTGCATAATATTTTTTTTGTTTCGTACCTTTTTATCACCTGATTGCAACATACGCTAAATTCTAAAATAGGTACAAAACTAATAATAATAAACAATAATACAATAGATTAACAGTAGTTTAGTCGTCTAAATAAAATCGGAAAATCCTTATTAAGACAAGTCATATCATATTGATTTAGGTGCTTTTATAGAATTTCCTCTTGTTTGAAACTAGAGAATTAATCTACACTTCATCCTTAGCATACCAGAGTGAATCGCCCCTGCATTATAACCGTCATAAAGTCCAGTATTTAACCAATCAATGAACCATTAAAGTTATGAATACACTCTCAGCGATATCTAATAATCAACAATCAAAAGAACTTCAAATATTAAACATAAACTTTAATCAGGATCAAGGATGTTTTGCCGTGGGCCACGAACATGGGTTTCTAGTCTATAATACCAATCCCATTGACATAAGAGTAAAGAGAAATTTCAATACAAGTGGGCATGGCTCAGGAATTGCACATATTACAATGCTTCATAGGACAAATTATTTGGCATTAGTGGGAGGAGGGAAGAACCCCAAGTTTGCAAATAATAAATTGGTGATCTGGGATGATTTAAAACGAAAGAACAGTTTGAACTTGGAATTTATGAGTCCAGTGCTTAATGTTCTATTATCAAGAACTAGAATAATCGTGGTTTTAAAGAATCAGGTTCTAGTATATGGGTTTTCATCGCCGCCTAAGAAATTTGCTACGTATGAAACAATAGAGAATGAATTCGGTTTGGCTGACTTATCGGTCAATTCTACTAATTCAATAGGCAACAATTTGTCTACGTCTAATTCTTCAATTTCTTCTTTGGTCTCGAACCAAGTATCATATGACAGTAACAAATATCAAACCCTTGCATTCCCTGGCCGCTCGATTGGCCAAATCCAATTAGTTGACGTATCACCATCAGGTCAAGAAAAGAATTTAGTAAGTATAATAAAAGCGCATAAATCAAAAATTCGATGTCTTGCGCTTAACCGATCTGGTACATTAGTGGCTTCGGCATCTGAAACTGGGACTATCATAAGAGTTCATTCTACTCATAATACTGCATTGTTATATGAATTTAGGAGAGGTTTAGACAGAGCCATAGTTACCTCAATGAAATTTTCGCATGATGATTCCAAATTAGCTGTCTTATCAGACAAGAATACTTTGCATGTTTATAACGTGTCTCCATTGAATACAAGTCTGGGAGCAACTAGTGATTTTGCAACTCATAACGAAACTTATCCTGTAAATAGACTGCATTTATTAGGAAACATCGCTTTTCCTATTCCTATTCCAAAGTATTTCAAATCCACATGGTCATTCTGCTCCGTTAATACAAATAAATATCATCCAGGTGGTTCTGATAATGATACCATAAATGACATGGGGATAATTGGATGGTCTGGGAATGACAGTATCATAATAGTTTGGCAAAACAAAAAAATATGGGAAAAATATGTTATTGTTGAAAAACGTAATAAGTCCCCGGGAGATGTTAATGATGGGTTAAATACCAGTCATCAAGGAAGTTCTAACTGGGAGCTTGTGAGATTTAATTGGAAAAATCTTGATAATTTAGACTGAACTATGTACATCATTATTTAATTATTTACACATGAATTTACTAATTGGAAGAAGCAAAGTCTTTACATACTTTTTAATCAACGATCTCGCATAGTATAGGTTCGTAGAATTTCTTCTCTTTTTCAGATTGAACACTTTCCCACTTTCTACCGTGGAAATTTCGAACAAACCTCTGAGCGTTGTCCTTATTAGCGAATCTAATTAGATTCAAGTGCACTTGGTTTATAGGATCGTTCACGATTGTAGTGAAACAGTTTGAAAATTTTGCTAACGGTGCTAGTTCGTAATCCCATAATAACTTTGGCAAAGCATGTTTTGATAACCCAAACGGTAAATTTCGGACTAAAACCAGGGCAACACGACTATTAGTATCGATTAAATCGATTATTGGAGCGTACAAAGGATCCAGGTCAAGATACTCGTAATTATCAATCTTCTTTTTCTCCAAATTCATGATTTGCGTTATTATGGAAGACTTATAGGGCGAATGCTGAAAGATATTCTGTATTGGGGTGTTTCCAATAGTTTTCTCTATTCGTATTTTATGATTATGCAACAACTCATTTATCGAACTATCCAATAGCGGTGACGACATGTATTTCAATTCATTTGCCGTTGCCGCAACAAATTCAAAGTTCAAATCGAACCCATTAATCTGCTTGCCTACCGTCTCCAACCAATACACACATGCATGCTTATAATTAGGAAATATAAGGTAGTAGGCACCGGTGGGCAAAAGGTTTATCGGATTTCGAGCCTTCACCACCTTAAACTGTATTCCCTTCCGGAGCTCGTCCGATAAGTAGTACTTCCGTTCTCGATTAATCGGGTATATATTGTAAAAATCATTATAGCTGATAAACGAATTCTGGCAGTTGAATTTCAAGATATTTGATTTCCTTCGTGCTGCATTAGTTTTGGGCAAATCCTCCACCGCCGTCTCCAACGGTTTCTGCTTCCATTCATTCTCCATTAATCCGTCTAATATTGATCCTTTGGCCTTCTCATTTGGCTTCTCGCTTGGGTTCTCATTTGCCAATGTCTCATCCTGCTGGTATAAATATTTGCTTACTATCGGCACCTTAGTCGCTATTTCTGTCGACGTAGTTGTATATAATAAATTAAGAAGCCTATTTGAAGCCCCTTTTGATAATTTAGAACTCATATAAGCCTATCAGCGTATTCATAAGTTGTAATTGCAAATGTATAGTAGTGGTTATTGTTAACGTCTGTAACTTTTCAAAAAAAGACCACAAAACTACTGGAGTATTTTTTTGTCGTGAATAGCCTTCGGGAGAAAATTAATACACAGTTTTAGACGGCTTACTATTGACATTAGGTTATCTTGACTTAAATAACGAGTTCTTGTTTAGATTTGATAAAGATTCAATATAATCTAATATCTTGTATCTTAATTTAGAGCAAGTTAGCCGTTAAAATATACTATACAAGTAGTTTTTTGATTATCTATCAAAAGACCCTCGTGCATTATCATAATAGCTGTGAAGACGTGCTTATCAATTCTTTTTTTTGAAGTTTTATTGATATAGGTGCTTGATATAAGTAATATGTCTTCAGAAACAATATGGTCGAATAATGGTACTTCCCCGTTGCAGTCTTCGACGGGTACCAATCAATATCGAAGTGTATTGGATCAAGTGGACCCAGAGGTGGCCAAGATGTTGGCGAATTCGAATTCGAATCCGATGATTTCCGGCGATAGTGACAGCAATAGCAGAAGATTTTCGTTTAATGATGGTAGTGATATAGATGGGAACTTTTTTGGGTTCAAAAAGGGTTCGTTATCAGCAATTACGGCGCCAGCAGGAGGTTATGCTGGTAGTAACAACGGGAACAACACAGGTCCTCAACGTATAAACTTTGGTGCTGCGTCGATTAGTGGGGGTATTGCCAGTAGACATCCGCCACAAGATAGCTTTTTGCAGAAGTTTTCGTCTGTAGCAGATGCTACTAGAGATATTGAGTTATCGAATAATTTGGGAAAAATATCTCTTGACGCACCAAACTCGAGAAGAACCAGCTTTAACAACGGTGACGCATCTAATAATATGACGCCATTGGGAGAGGTGGGAGGTATCTTAGGTACACCTCACGGTTCTTTAAATGAAAACTTGAATATGCCTGTTCCAAGAACATCCAGACATCAATCAATCAGCGAAAAAATTGATAGCTACAACAATAGTTCACCAATTCAAGCTGGCGCTGCTTTATCAGTTAATTCAGATTTAAATAGTAATGCGAACGACCAGACTTCTGTTATTCGTCCGCCACAAGCTCCTCATACGTTTTGGAACCCAGCAACGGCTACATCCTTCACCCCTAACAATTCATATGGATATTTTATGGAAAATAATGGGTTGCAAGGAGCACCTGTTCCTCCGCAAAACTTTAATCCTTACAATCGTAATGGTCCTAGTGTTCCTCCAATTAGTCCCCCACCATTTATGATTCCATCACCACCAGCACAGTTCATGGATCCTGGTTTGTACAACATGATGAACTATGGTATCAATGATGACTCTCCTGATGGCGAGCATCAAGATGACAAGGATAACAGTGATGATGCCAAAAATGGTGATTTGAATAACCAACATGAAACAAAGCAGAAGGATGTATCAAGAAAGGGACATACTCCTGGTATTGGTTTAATGAACCGTCAAGCGGGATCAGGAGCAGGGTTTATGTTTCAGCCTTTCAATCCTTATTCTCTTTATCAACAGTCGTCTCCGCCTATGGGTATGTCACCAGTCGCTGATCCAAATTCTGGGAATCCATTACTTGATGATGGAACCTCAAAGAATGTACCTCCAACCCAACTGGCACGTCCACCACACGCAGCTCCTTCGAATGGTAACAAACGTAAGGGCAACTCAAGAAACGCTTCTTCGTCTGGTAAAGGAACTAACCATATTTATAGATCACCTTTACTTGAAGAAATCCGTTCGAATTTCAAGGGTAAAGAATATTTTTTGAAAGATATCTATGGGCATGCCGTTGAATTTACGAAAGATCAACATGGATCGCGTTTTATTCAACAAAAGTTGCCAGAATCTAGTGATGAAGAAAAAGAAGTGATTTTCAATGAAATTAGAGATATATCGTATGACTTAATGACTGATGTTTTCGGTAATTATGTTATACAAAAGTATTTCGAACATGGATCCCCAATTCAAAAGAGAATCTTGTTGGACTGTATGATTGGTCATATTTATGAATTGTCTTTACAGACATTTGGTTGTCGTGTTGTACAAAGGGCCTTAGAGGCGATTGATTTAAACGGACAAATCCAAATTATTGAAGAATTAAAAGACTACATTTTGGTATGTGCAAAGGACCAAAATGGTAATCATGTTATTCAAAAGTCTATTGAAACAATTCCATTTGATCGTATTGAGTTTGTCTTAGAATCGTTAGATAATCAAATATACCACTTGTCAACCCATCCTTACGGTTGCAGAGTGATTCAGCGTTTATTAGAACATTCGAATGCTGAAGACAGAAAGAAAATATTAGGAGAATTGAATAGATTTATTTTCTATTTGATTCAAGACCAATATGGTAATTATGTTATGCAACATACTTTAGAACGTGGTAATCCAGAAGATAGGGAGGAAATTTTGAAAATTGTTTTAGGGTCTGTAGTTAACTTTTCGAAACATAAATTTGCTTCAAATGTTATTGAAAAATGTATTAAGTTTGGTACTTTAGATCAAAGAAGACGCATACTACATGAAGTCATGATTGGAAATGAAGACTACAACGTTGAAACTGTCAGTGACGACTCAGCTTTAGCCTTAATGATGAAGGACCAGTATGCCAATTATGTGATTCAGAAATTGGTTGAAGGTTTCGATGCAAAGAGCGACGAAAAGAAGATTTTGGTTGTAAAATTGAGACAATATTTAAAACAAATTTCTTCAAAAAACAGCTATGGCAAGCATTTAGCTTCAGTTGAAAAAATGATCATAGTTGCAGAAACAGCATTAATTGAGGCAGAAAGAAGTACATAATACTGTCACTTGGTTGCTTATTTATTAAAGATTCTTAAAGTCTGATTTTTTTTTTGCTAAAAAGGGGAACAATTGTCTTTATTACTTAACACCCATTTAATGTAACCAATGTTTTACCGTAACCGATGTTCTACTGTCCCCGTTTATTTTGTGTATATAGGTTTTCTCTAATTGGTAATTGATTTCTTATTTTATCGCTTTTCTTCTATTGTTTATACTCTTACTGTTAATAATTTTGTATATATGTGTTTATAAATAAAAATTTCTAAAATTACTGTACATATATTGTGTTCGTTATTACTTAATTAGATTATACGCTCCAGGTAGTATAATAATAGAGTTAAACCATTCAATACGTAGTAGACATGTCTTCGTATCGTTATATTTGTTCGTTTAAAGTTGAACTTCTTTGAATCTTGTTACCAATTTCAAATGAAACAGTTCCCAAATTTCATCATTGCAGTCATTATCGCCGATTTCACTTCTATATAATTCCCTTATCTGATCACACGACATTGCTCTTGCTCGATGGATTTCGTCTGCCTTCAAGCATACAACAAAATCATATAGCGTTATCCATTTTAAAAGCTTGGACTCTGTAATATAACTAGTCGAGTTTAATTCATCTTCCGTTATGGATACCCTTTTGGAAGGATCTGAGGGAATTAAAAGATTTTGAACGTCTGAATTTTTCTTCAAAGCCTTTGAATCTAACATATCCTCATCATCCGAAACCACCAAGGAACTGAAATTCGATGACTCACTGTTCATGTTATCGAAGCTCTTCCTCAATTGATTCAAGCTTAGTAAAGATGAGGTCGTATTTAATGAAAATGATCTTCCACTACTAGCTACATCACCTGTAGCCATCTTAACAAAGTTTTCATTCAAATGGCTCAAATCAGCACCAATCGACCCACCGGGGTGCTTCATGGAAAATAGCTTCTTTCGTTTCAACGCATCCTCTTCTAGCATCTCAGATAATGCCAATATCGTGGCATCGGCTAAGACCATTGATAGCGTAGCTGACACTGTTGGTGCTGGTATACCATGTATCGCTTCCTCATTCAAGTTTGAAGGTAAATCAGCGTACAACATAGACTTAACCTGAGGGTGGTTGGATAATTTTGAATTCAGATTACACGTCAAAAGTATGATAGGAATCAACTTGGGAATATGGGGCAATAATTGCAAAAGTTCAGGTGTATTCCCACTTGCAGTTACAAATATCAAGGCATCGTTCTCCCGTATTATTCCAAGATCACCATGTAAACCTTCTGTTGCGTGAAGTGCCGCAGATTGAATAGATAACGAATTTAGTGTTGCTACTAATTTGCTGGATATCTTGAAGCTTTTACCAATTCCCGAAACTACTACTTTCCCTCCCCGTAAAATACTCTGAAAAAGTATTTCCAACGAATTCAACAAGTTAATCCGTGAGTATCCCGATTTACTATATTGCTCGACCAAACGGCTCATCGCCTCACTCTGGCTACCCAAAGTCTTGTTTACAGAGCTTAATGCTTTCTCTGCCCTTCTTTCATAAACACATGTGTCCATTGGTATCTATTTGTTTTCCCCCTTCCAACTATTTGCTATATGTTCTGGAAATTTTGTCTTTTTGAATCATTATCATTACTCTAACATTACTAATTATTCCACACTTTTACGCAAACGGAGCCGCACTTTTTTTTTTTTGTTTCGCTCGCAATTTAGTCTTCGCCGTTGATGCAGAATTATGTGACTACTCCAACTCTATAACCGGCAATTATCACTTACAAGCGAGGTATTTAATAAATACTATGTAGTATAAAGTTAGAGGGGAGTCAACTTGGCTTACAAATATGATTTCAGATTATAAGTATTAAGCAGCGTTTGTCACGAAACATGAGACATTATTATAGCAATATGCGCAAACATGTGATAGAGTCAGGTATACGAGTTGAATTCCAAGGCAGAAAATAGCTCATTATCATTGTGCGATAAATATTCGTACTTGTCTCCACTTTCGTTCGTATAGTCTCTAGGGTTGGAACTAGTCTGAAAATCAAATTGTAATTGCTGTAGAAAAGCATGGGTAGTATTCATGTTAGCAGTTGAATTTGCATTTGTAGTTACATTTTTATCCTGTTCCTCCCTTAAATTCTGGTGGTTTTGGATTGTCTTTTCACGTAAAATGTTGATCTGCCTCGCTCTCTGTGCCCAGTTAGAGGTGTAGGAGCCCGTGACACTTGAATGCCAAACGGATGCAAATAAGTCTGCTGTTAAGGCTAAATTTCGGATGAATATCGGTAACTGGTCTTCAGAAATGATTTTGAAGTGGCAAGTTGCAAAAACTCCTGGAACACCTGATCTTCTGTAGGTCTTGACTTTAAAATATTTTTGATAGCTGGATCCGATGTAGCCATTACCGGTGCCTTCTTGAACTTGGGGAGTTGAAGAGTTGGATTCGACATTACTGAAACCACCCATACCTGCGACCAAAGAGGACGATGGTGTATGGGAAGAAATGACAATGTTCAAGAAATTGAATTGTGACTTGATTATATTGAAATTAAATGGTAGTCCTGACTCGTCGAAGAATATATTAACATAATTATTGCCGATGTGTCTCTTCTTGAAATCAAAGTACTTGTCGTTCTCATTTTGAGGCATCATGGTGGCAGTATGGAAAATTAGCTGGGTAGTTTTGTTACTCCAGAATACTGCGTATTCACCATCCATATTATTCTCGTTATCTAGACCGCCTAGGTAGACATCCTTACTGTCCTTCAATTTAATCAACTCCCCTATATTATCTAGTAAATGCTGAAAGTCATGAGACCCCACTTTGTTGCTTAATATTTCAGTCTCTTCGGATTGGTTAGGCCCAATATATATTAACCCAACCTTATGATATTCTACAACCGGTATTCGATCAAAGGCCGATATTGCTCTTAAAGTTACTGGCTCTTCAATTAAAGGTAACGGTTTAAATTTGTTTTCTGTGTCCATACTACTAAATATTTGTAAAAGCATATGATTTGAATTGAAAACTGGTTTTAAATTAGTTCCGCTTGAAAGATTAGACTTTGTTAATGAAATCCACTCAGGGATCATAGATGGGTCTAACTCAACACGAAATATGGAGACCCCAGTTGGTCGCCTAAATGTAAATAATGATTCGCCTGTAATCATGTTAGTATCGATACTAATGATGCTACATCCCAAAATCCATCTATTTGTACTCATGTAGTTTTCGTGGCCAGTATTTTGTAATTTTTTGAATAATATCTCGTTAGCTTTAGATGGATTAATTATCTTCAATGGCAAGTCAGAATAAGTGAATCGGGCAATTAATTCCAAATATGCCAAGGTTTGATCATTTAACATCTTTCCATCATTACTTAACAATATTAAATTTTTAATTAAAAATGATGATACCTGCTTCCTCTCGCTAAGATCCATTTTCAAGAACCAGCTTGAAATGACATTATACGATAAAGTTGACAAATATTCCGATAATATAGGAGTAATCTTCGTTGCTTGGGTCGTAGGAGTCTGTTCAACCTCTGCATCAATTCCGTGGGTTTGAAGTATTTCTTCTTGGAATTCATCAGTAGTCTTACGTTCTTTAATATCGTTAGAATATTCGATATATTTAAAGGCAATAGCAAAAACTCTCTTGTATTCATCAATAGTAAAACTAGAAGTTAACGTTGGTAAATGTATTAACGACATCAAAAACTCCAAAGTATGTGAACTAGCAAATGCACTTGTAACTCTGGTTTGTAACTTGGATAAAATTGCTGGTAGTGACTTTTTAATAGATAATGGAATTGCATAACAACATACGGTTAATATATTTATGCAAGGAATGGCTGTCTTTTCCCATGAACTCAATCCAAAGAGCAAGGCCTTAATTATTTGATCTTCATCATACTTCGAAAAAAAGTCATGATAACCGAGCAATGCTGACAATGTTCTCACAAATGCAACTTGTAGATTTGCTTTTGTTAGATGTTCCGGAACCGACAAAGTCTTTGGCAAATTAAGCATTAGTTGATCACAAACAATAGTCTTCAATTTCACAATCTCTTCAGCATTATTCAAGAATAGCATCATGTTTGCTAATTGTGAACAAAAATGTGCCCAAATATAAGAATATACTTCCCAATTTATGAATTTTGACATGATTTCTAAAACTATTGAAAACCATTTAGATATATCAACACTATACTCATCTTCCGCGAATATCATCTTGATGCCATTGGGATTGAATAATTTCAATCCCTTAGATGGTTGGTTAAAGAATTTTTCTGGTAAATATTCAAGCGCTTCTGGATATGTCCATTGGAAATTTTCATCCTTATTGAAATCAGCATCCTGTGTATTTCTGCCAAAGGCTGTTGCTAACCCATCCATATCTATCGGTTTACTAAAGAATAGAAATCTCTCACTAGTGACTCTCAATCTTACTAAACATCTGCATAAAATTAATAACAAATCGGCATCTTCGACTGCTAATGCATACTGACATATTATTATTATCAAACGAAATACTTCTTGTGCTTTCGCCGCATCTTCAGTCGAAGATATTATAAATACACGTACAATTGATTCTGTTACAGTTTGCAAAAATGACGATGAAAACTGATTATACTGTTCGTAAATACCGCTGGCCTGTGAAGTAGATCCTAGTGAACTTATAGATACTAAACTTCTACGCCTTTCTGTATTATTTTTCACCTGAAACCCTGGCATGAATACTTTAGATAGCTCATTGAAAAATGACAACAGGGATCTTAATGCAATATCAGTTAGAAAGTTATCCGCCAAATATTTGGTAATCCTCTCGTCCTGTTCGACGATAGATTTTTTAAATAGATCAAAAATTATTTCATAATTAATAATATTCTCATCAAATATGGACATCGATATATCATGGCCTTCTTTTATAACCCTCAACGTCTCAAGTCTAATATTTGCAATTTGCTCGCTGTCCATATGCTCGCCACTTAACTTCGTGGAAGAAGATGTTGCCTTTATTAGCAGGGGATAATAAAAGTAATCCAAAAGCTTGACACAATTCTCCTTCCATAAGGGATTCAATAAGGAACACAATTTTTCTTCAGAATAATAATTTAGAATAAATTTGATATTGCTTGCAGATAAGTATTGGTAATGGTCCATAAAAAAATTGACTAACTTGTCCTTTGGAGAATGTAACTCATGGCTCTCATATAACTCTTGTAATGACGTACAAATCGATTTTAAATAATTAATGTCTTGTTCTGAGTTTAGTCTAAGACTTGCTAAGACGTCATATAATGAAAAGGTATTTGAATACCATAACTGAAATGGTAATAATTTATCAAACGGAATTCTCATATTGAATTCTTCATCAAAGTGGCTTGAAAATAGTCTATCAAACGATCTTAAGTAAGCCGTATTAATAATAGGTATGTTATAAGAAATTGTTTTCTGTGCAGCTTTGAAAATCAAAATGTACGAACCATCTATCATTGATCTATTTTCCAAGCAACTAATTATTATGATTCTTTCTAATATTTGAATCGAACCCAAGCATGTAACCAATGACCGACTTAGTTCTCTAGTACTGTTATGGGAATTAATTGTCACATTTGACCTCACAGAAGACAATATATTTGAATAATTTATAGTGTCCATTGTTTTATAATGTTGGACATCATTATTCAGTGCAATATCACAAAGCGTAGATATGACAATTTGCAATTTCTGTTCTATATACAAATTGTTAATCAAATCCCAAGTTAGTGTACTTAACTCATTATTTAAACCGTGGATAGAGCAGAGAAATTCTATGATATCGCCATAACATTTCATTGGGATGCTTCCAAACACAACAACAGAACGAAGTAGTTCTAAGCATCCAATTATTATTTGGGTGTTACTTGTCATAGATGCTATAGATACAATTTGAATTATTACCGAAGAGATTGTAGTTTCATCAATATAACTGAAACTGAACTTGAGACAATTTTCAGTCAATCGTATTATCTCAAGTAAATTTTGGAACACACTATTATCCGATAAAGTCTCTTGGTCGTCTCTGTCTGTATAATACTTAGCTGACCTCCCCAATACAAATAGACATTGCTCAATAAACCGATTAAGGTTTTTCTCCTTATCGTAAATACAAACGTCATGGATATCCCTGCCATCATTCGTCAACATTCTGAGAGCCTTTAAAAATAGATCTAAATCAGGGTCTATCTTATTTTCACTTAGCTGGCAAAATGACGCAATATCTTTAAAATACATTAATCTAATGCTAACAGATGCCGTATCGTCTTGTTTGATACATTCAGTTAGCAATTCAAGGGCAATTCGTCGAATATAGGATTGAATTCTTGAGTCACACATATCCCTAGCCAAATACCAAATCTCTGGTATTGATGAAATTGCATATGTCCTTAAAGATTCAGTAACCTTTGATGCCGCTGAAGCCCTACGAGGCAATGGGCCATTTTGCAATTGATTTAATAGCTTCTGTTGATCACTCCCACCTCCGATAACCGTAGGGTTTATCAGTATCGGTACATTCTTACTAGATGTTGATTTTAATGATTTAGATATCGATTTAAAAACATTTCCTATCCCCGATGACCTTCCAAAAGTTGGATGGTGAGTCGACATATTTATACTCTATTAACATAAATTCCGTATTAATATTTACTCTCAACTATAAACCAGCAATTAGTAACAGGATAAAGGGTGTATTATATAGAACTGCCTAATACTATTTCTGCTAATTTTTTTTAAATGCATATTGACGTGCGAAAGACTGCCTGTGTTTTTTACAGATATAATATAATCAAATTAATAAATACGTTTATCTAAATCTAACACCAAAAACGGTAAACTCTATAATACAATGGCTTGGTACGTAGTATTGCTCTTTCCTCCTCTAATTCTTGTTTCAATGCTTCTAAATCTGTTTCTCTACGTCCAACGTCAACATCAATGTTCTTGGCTCTAATGCAAAGAATCCAATTATTCTTCCATATTTTGTGGCCTAGGTAGAATACAAGTAAAACAACAAACCCCAAGTAGTTTTGGAAAAAACCTTCAGCGCTGGGTGATTCTCCTAATGGAAATAAAGAAACCCAAAATTCTGCAATTAATACTAATGTATTTAAGGTGGCCCCATAAATTGAGCCAATTACACCAGTTTGGGACTTGAAGCTTAACTCGTCGCTTGATCTTCCTTTGACATATAAGGCCCTTCTAAATCTTATGTGGGCTACACAAATAGACCACCAAGTGAAAATGGAACTTAAACCACTAATCAGTAGTAACCAGTTAAATACTTCTTCTTGCTTACCACTTGCAGCGATAAAACTCAATAAACCAAATATGTTTGTAATTATGATCGCAACTAGTGGCCTACCTGCTCTGTCAATATACCCACAAATTTTTGGAGCCAATCCTTGTTCAGCTAAAGCCGTCAATGTCCTTGATGTTGCATATACCGAGGAAGATCCTACCGAAATAACAGAAATCAAAATAACGGCATTCATAACGGATGGTAAGCCACCGATACCCCCATTGTTGATAGCAATGACGAACGGCGATGCTGTGACATCGACTGAACTGGCACCTAACAAACTGTCAGAATTATAAGGCACTAAGAAACAAATCAAAGTTAAAGAGATCATATAAAACATCAATATTCTCCAGAACACTTGTTTTGTTGCCCTTGGTAATGTCACTCTTGGGTTATCAGTCTCGGCTGCTGTCAACCCAACTAACTCAGTGCCCCCAAAAGAAAACGCAGAGGTGACAAATACTGAACTTACACCCTTAAATCCATTCGCAAACAAGCCTGGATCATGCCAATATCTGGCTCCTACGTAATGACCATTTGGAGCTCCTCCTGCAGCAATAACAATAGAAACTATTATAAATCCAACAACCGCAAGAACTTTAATTGATGAAAATACAAATTCTGCCTCACCGTAAGCTTTTACGCCAAAGAAATTTATAGAAATAACAACGAGGTAGAAAATGAGTACCCAGACATCAGGGTTGACTGATGTAATCCAGTATGTCATTGTGATGGAACCAGCAACCAATTCTAAAGGTAACAAAACTAAAAATTGGAAAAAATAGTTCCATGCAACTGCAAAACCAACTGATGGATCAATGAATCTACTCGCATAAACATTAAAAGAACCAGAAATTGGAAAGGTTACCGCTAATTCGCCCATTGCTTGAATCGTACAGAAAATGGCTGAACCTGTCAAAGCCCAAGCAATCAAAATACCCAAAGGACCACCTGTGTTTAAAGCAGATCCTGATCCTATGAAAAGTCCTGTTCCAATCGAAGACCCAATAGCAATCATTTGCAAATGTCTCGATTTCAATTTTCTCTTTAATGGAGACTTGGCGGTCCTTATGTTACCTTTCTGAACATCATCCAACTTTTCTAAGTCAACTTCTTCTTCTTCTTCGTATCCTTCGTACCTCTTAAATGAGTCTTTAAAAGATTGCCATTTCGTGTGCTCTTTTTTATCATCAAAAGTTGATGATCGACTTGATACCCCATTAGAGAGAGGAATACTCTCGCTGTTTGTAGAGTCAACTTCTTTAGGTTCCATTTGCTAAAGCCGTCTATACTATTATCATTGATTTTACTGATATTTGAAATTTCAATTTTTTTTTTTTTATGATATTAGTGCACGGCATTTTGCAACTTTTCGCAGACCGAGTAAAAACCATCTATTATGACTCAACTTGATCTAATATTATTACAACCCAATTAATTATTACGCTATGGATTAAAATATTCTAGAGTATAAAAGCGAAATTAAAAGCAAACCTAAAAAAATATAAACTTATGAAATAAACCACTTGAAACCGGTACCACGATCTTAACCATAAAGCAAATCAACAATATAACAAAACCCACCACCCCAGGTAATTTTTTGAAGTATTCTCCTAAGCCAAACTGGCTTTATTTTAAGGAAAACATTTCCACAATTATACCCTTCACTTTCGACACCAATTCCCCATTTAATATTCTCTCTAACATTACAACCATTCCAGAAATTCCACCATTTATGTCTCTCGCAGGTTTTTAATCTCACCAAATTTTTCATTAATGGACCACTGGGACCATTGATGTATTTGTAACCTCCAATGAACAGATGCTTTTGACGAGGGTCGTCATCAGGTAACTTCTTATCACCCCAGTGTCCTGTAAAAGACAACCAATTTCCGTATTCCACTTCTCTACCTCTATGTCTCGAATTAGTGTTATTTTCTGCAGGATATACAAATACACCATCATACGAGTAAGCCAAATAATTCTTGGTAGGATTCCACAAAGGACCCCTGTCAGTGAAATCGGATAAAATACCATAAGGCAAATCATGAGGGTGCTGTCCAACCGAAACATAATTTGCATGCGTTCCTCTAGCTGAGAATAGTATTGGATGAGTGTCGTCAATCTCCCACTTTTCTAAGTTGTGATAAAAGTATGCACCTCCTCCACCATGTGCCGACATCCAAACGATCACCGGTACACCGTTATAAAATCTCACTAATGAATGTTCCCAATCGCCTACGTGATTACCATACGGGCCAGATCCCATGACAAATGGACCCAAATTGAACGAATAAAAGTAGAACCAGAATGCATCTACCCACCCATTACCTTTATCAACCACAATCAATGTTGCTGGCGCATCCTTAATCTCCCCGTCAATCAACGAAGGCTTATTTTTTGAACCAGTAACCCATTCAGGGTCCTTGTCGAAATCTGTGCGGGACAGTAAAAATATATCCGGTACGTTTGGCAACTTGGATAATTTGTTAAGGCTCATTTCATCTTCCGTGCCTTCGACGATACTACCGTTTTCATAAGTCACAAAAAAATTCGTCACGTAATCCTTGATATCATACGGCAAGTATTTTTCCTCCGTGTATAAATGAACTAATGGCGCATAATCAATAGCATATTGTGGTATCTCACCATTCTTCAACGTTCTCTCTTCTTTCTTTGGCCAACTCAGTATTGGTGGTAAATCCTTAGTCGGTGAGTTTATTAGATTATTTATTTCAACCTTTTCTGTGCCAATCGACTCCATAATATAGCTATTTGCTGCTTCCCACCGAGGCAGGTTCGTTCCTTCCACTGCAAACACAAATATTAGTATGGAGAACCAATAGGATATTATCATGCTATTATTCGTCACGCTTTAAGTTTAATGCCCATAAATATAGAAATAGATTGTTGATAACTATATTTAACGGATGGTTCCGATCTTATTTCTGTTGATCATTTTATTTTGTATGCAGGTCGATGATTACAGTATTCGAACTAAGATAAGAAGAAGCTAACAACTGCCCATTAAATGTAAAAACTAAATCGAAAGTATATATTTATATATAAGTGTATGTGTATCTTAAGTAAATTAGAAAACGAATATTTGATCGCCTAATTTTGAGACTGGCTTTGCCTTCTGGTAGCCTAAGCCAACGGCAGCCTTCTTCATAGCACTAATCATAGGTGGAGGACCACATAATAATAAGTTTGTAGGTTCAGAAGCCTTTGGCAAGTGTTTATCCATAATTTCTGGAGTAACGAAACCGACACCACCGTTCCAGTTTTCTGGAGGAGTGTTTAAAACGTAATAAATCTTAAATCTGTCTGGGTGTTCTCTAGCCATCTTGTTCAACTCTTCTTTCAACAAAATGTCGTCTTCAGTCACGTTAGCGTACACCAAGCTGACCTTAGTTTTATCTTCTGGGTCTCTCAAAATCGCAGTCAAAATTTGGTACATTGGAGTAATACCGGTACCACCAGCAATCATTCCAAACGATTCAACCATACCTGGAGTGTAGGTAAAGAATCCCTTTGGTCCTCTAATGTCGATGGTTTCCCCAATCTTCTTAGACTCGACGTGTCTTGAGATATTACCGTTTTCATAAGTCTTGATCAATAAATCAAAGTATCCTAATTCATCATCGGTGGAGATTGGAGTGTAAGACCTAACCACCTCTTTGTCATTAATAGTTGCTCCAATAGCAATATGTTGACCGATTGGCAAACCTAATCTGTCGGTGGACCGTGGTAATCCGAATCTGTAGACGCATGTGTTGTGAGAAACTCTGGTTTTTTCAATCAATGGAAACTTTTGGAAATCATTTGGTTTTAAAACTGGAGTATTCTTTCTGCTTAATTGAAAGTAATAATATGCTACGGCTGAAGAGATTATTGCTGCAACAGTAGCAAATATAATAAAGGGATTAGGCTCTGGTTGTGACATCTTGTCTTTCTATATGGATCGTTGTACCTAAGTTGTCCGAAAAATAAATATATGCGTTGTTGGTTTTCTTTTTGGGCTAAATAATCCGTTTCGCATTACCCGGAATTATGACTTTATCAGTATCTTATGATATTGACCTTGTTATAGTAGCTACAGATTCTCTGAAGTTATGCATGTATTATAAAATTAAACATAATTACTTTGTATTGGCTAATAATTAAATAGGCCGTGCTCGGATTTTATTGAACCTCTTTGACACCATAATATAGAAAAAAACAAATTCGTCATACAGCACCGATATTTACAATGATTCATTTATAAATCCATATAAAGTCTAGACCTATTATTTATCTTCTTCTTTTTCTTCTTCTTCTTCTTCTTCTTCTTCCTCTTCTCCTTCAACACCCTTAACGTTCCATTGGCAACTCACGTCCCATCTGGAACCCTTGGCATTTATACTAACATATTTCACAAATTTGAGTACGGAGGGATCTCTTAGCATTAAACATAGGGAATTCCATTTACATTGACTCGTGTACAATACACTATCGTCATTCGGATCGTTAGCCTTGTAGATGGCCGGATCGTCGTCTTCGAAATCGCTTTCATCACCTCCATTTAATGCCATGCACAATTCGTAGCCTCCGTATTCACCCAGTTCCCAATTCTTTGGATTTGTGGCAGTAGGAGTTAAGTTCAATGTAGCTTCAAGTAACACATTCAACTCGTCTGAATTAGGTCTGGCTAACAGTTTGTCAGTTTTTGTGGCTAAAATGAAATCTTGACCAGGTCTGAAGCGTCTTATCAATACCTGATCGCTGGTAGGTATAACACTAGTAATGACCACGAGCCACTTTCTAAATGCCACGGACCTTAAAAATGAACCAAGATCACTTAATTTCTTGTCAACTTCGTCATGTGAAGTTCGATTAATTAGTTCGAAATTTGGTGCTTCTTGAGGTCCTATTTTATTGATTTTCTTAATGCCTTCTTCTGATTGCTCAAAAACATCCCTCCCATCCATGTACATAAAGCGCTGTTTGTGTGGCGGCATGGAGCACTTCCATGGAAAGGTGATCTCTTTCGAGTTAGCAGGAGTTTTTTTCTCTAATTCAGTGGTCTTGATAGATTCCTTTAATAAGTTAGCAAATTCTTCTTTCAAAATATCCTTAATTTCTACTACTGATTCTTCAAGAAAAATTTCATTCAACCTTTGAAGATTTTGATCCTGCAAATATAGAGGGTTCAAATATTCTGTTAAATATTGTATTTCATTTTCGGAAAAGTTACCTGATGAAAAGTTTTCATACAACTTTAATTCCTCCGCATGTATATCGCTCCTGAACGGTTTAGGAAAATCAAATTCTTGTAACTCTTTACTCTGTAATTGCTGCAAGGTACTCCTAGATGTTGTTTCTTCTTGTTCTCCTGGTATATAGCCTGCTTCGCCAGGCTGCGGGATATGAAACCACCCTTGAATAGACAATCTTTGCTTGTCGACTCTCACCTCCTCTACATCATGGAATGATAAACCTGGTTGCACCGTGAAAAATGCCATTTGATTAAATTGTGGAGTTAACTTGACATCGTAGTCTGTTTTTGGAACGTTAGGCACGATTGCAGGGAATAGCCTCAATCCTCCACCATAATGGGACTTCCAGGTTTTGTCTGGATCCGGTAAATAAAGAATAAAACTGACTCTTCTTGATCCGATAACATCATCATGCGTTAACAAATGGCATCCTTTTGTATAAGTGTTTATCGACATATCTGTCTTACTGCCGCTTAGTTGGCCACACCCGGTTATCTTAGAGATAACATCACGAAACTCTTCTGAATAAATCGCAGAACGTAATTTGTATAATGATGGTAATCTTGATAAATCATCCCAATCTAATCCAGATAAATTTGCTAAATCTCCAGACTGGTACACTCTATATATATCCGTCTCTTTTTTCGTAAAGGCAATTTCGCTCAAAACCTCTTTGCGTACTTGTCTTAATAATGTATCATCTATAAGCTCCTTGATCGTTCCCCAACGGAACGGTTGACTATCTTTTACCTCATTTTTTATGTCATCTTGGAATTGATCATTCCAAACTTGGGAATTGAAAAAAGAATGAATATCCTCTTTATTGTAAACTGTGTTTAACTTCTTATTACTGTCATCCTCTTTAACGTCGACTGGTCTCTTTCCCGGCATCGTTAATGTACAAGACTTGATTCTGTGACATACATATAAAGAAGCATTTAAGACATAAATACTGAAAAATTTCGTTCGTTCACGTGCACCTAAACCGGCGCTATTCTCCGGTTGACTCATATGAATCATATAGAATTTTTCAGTTTCAATAAATACTATATTAACCCAAATCACCAGAAGATAAAACTAGATCTATATACATACATAGATATAAGCATACAAACATATATGAAAAACATATAAAAATGGTTAACTCACCTGCATTATCAGCTCTGTCGTATAATTCCGTTCTTGACTTCAAGAAAATGAATAAAGCATCAAATTGGATTATCCAAAAATTCGGTGGTACTTCGGTAGGTAAATTTCCTGAAACCATTGTGGATGATATAGCCAAAATATTCAGTCAGCAAAACAGAGTTGCAGTTGTCTGTTCTGCAAGATCTTCGAACACAAAAAGCGAAGGTACCACGTCCAGATTGATCAAGTCAGCGGATTTAGCATCGGAGAACGGAGACTTCAATGCTTTATTAAAAGTTATTGAAGAAGACCACGTCGAAAATGCTAAGAGTCGTATCTCAGACGCAAAAATTCAAGAAGAATTAATTGAAAGTACAATGAAAGAATTAGAAAGAGCGAATGAATTGTTAAAGGCATGCCAGGTTATTGGTGAAATAAGTGCGAGAACCTTAGATTCGATCATGTCCGTTGGTGAAAAGCTTTCATGTCTCTTCATGGCTGCCTTGATGAATGACCGTGGCTTAAAGGCTACCTATGTTGATTTATCAGACATTATTCCTTTGGATTATGACTTTACAAATGGATTTGATGAGAAATTTTATAAATTCTTATCTTCTGAATTAGGTAAAAAGGTAACTTGTCTTGATTCTGATGTAGTTCCTGTTCTCACCGGCTACTTCGGAGTTGTCCCTGGTGGATTATTGAACGGTGTAGGTAGGGGTTACACTGACTTATGTGCGGCATTGATTGCCGTTGGCACTCAAGCCGAAGAATTACAGATTTGGAAAGAAGTCGATGGTATATTTACTGCAGATCCTAGAAAGGTCCCAAATGCTAGATTATTGGATAGTGTCACCCCAGAGGAAGCCGCTGAACTTACCTATTATGGTTCTGAAGTCATCCATCCGTTTACTATGGAACAAGTCATCAAAGCGAAAATTCCGATCAGAATTAAGAACGTAAAAAACCCTTGGGGTTCAGGTACTATTATTTTCCCAGATAATATGGCCAGAAGAGGAGAAGAAACTCCTCCACATCCACCGGCAGCATATGAGACTTTGTCAAGTTCATATATTGCTACTCACAAAAAGAAATCTGCAACTGCTATTACAGCCAAGCAAGATATCGTCGTTATTAACGTTCATTCAAACAAAAAAACCTTATCACATGGTTTTTTGGCTCACATTTTCACTACGTTAGACAATTTCAAGCTAGTTGTTGATTTAATTTCGACTTCAGAAGTCCATGTATCAATGGCTCTCCAGATTCAACCTGATCAAGAACTACATTTGAAAAATGCTTTGAAAGAATTACGCAAAATGGGTACTGTTGATGTTACAAGAGAAATGACTATTGTTTCATTGGTCGGAAAGCAAATGGTTAACTTTATTGGCATTGCAGGTAATATGTTTAAAGTGCTAGCTGACGAAAGAATTAATATCGAAATGATTTCCCAAGGTGCAAATGAAATAAATATTTCTGCAGTTATCGATGCAAAGGATACTTTAAGAGCATTGCAATCTATTCATGCTAAATTACTAGAAGGCAATTATGACTTATTAGGTAAGACAGAAAGTGCTGTCGATACACGTTTAGAAGGCTTAAAATTGCAGTGAGCTTTCTTGTACATACAAACATTCCCATTCAATGCATAAATATCATGTTTCATTATAGAAGTCAACCATTTTCTTGTTAATTCTAAAAAGTTTATAGACATAATTATTTATATAAAATCAATTCAAGTAGCAAGACAACCTCATGTAATGAACAGAAACGACAACAATTACAAATTAAATATCAAAATCACCAGATTCACGACTATTATTAGCTCCACCTGACAGCTTGGCATTTTCGTCCATAAATCCTTCCATTTCACCAACCATTCCCCCTAATAATTCAGCAGCCAACTTGTGGTAAGCCAATTGTGCCTTGACTAATTCGAGGAATTCTTCTAACGGCTTAGAATTTTCTAGCACATTTTGCAAGATGTTGATAGCATCTTCCACCGTGTTGGCAAATTCGTCTTCCGCATTTTCCATAATAACACGCAAGTTAGGTTCTTTTGAAGGATTTGAGCAGCTGGTCAAGTTCATACGAGACAAGTCATAATCAATTCTCTTTTGATCGACCTTCTTTTGGATATTATTGCTTTGAGAAATCAATTGGCGTAATGTGGTAGTAAGTGGTTTGTTGAATTTAGATTTAATCAATTGATCTTGCCCTAATCTCGCATTACCAATTTTATTCAAATTAGATGAATACAAGTCCAATCCCTTGATCAATGGATCATTATTTTGTTCGCCGGTGGTTAAAATTGACCCATCTGTTGCTCTAGATAAGGCGTGGTACAAAGTTTTTGGAGGCTTGAATTCCCCCGTTGTCGGATTGACTAACGCTGCCTGTGCCTCAGCTGGTGTAGTAGCCTTTGATAAATTGGAAACCCTATTGCCGAAATTCTTACCAAATTCTGTAAACGATTCTTGTAAATTAGTTGGGTAGTCATAACTTTCATTTTCATAGTTTGTGGTAACCTTTAATACGTTCTTGTATAATTTTTCTATGTTATTGCATTTCTCTGCTAATTCCACGTACTCTGATGGTAGCTGACTTATGTCATCCACATTGACCTTGCCCATTCTCTCCTGGACCATGCGTGAGGTTCTTTGAGCTAAAGGTAAAAATTCATTATTAAAATCATTACTAAATTTATCACCCAAGTTCTTCAAGTCTTGAGTAAAGTTCGAGAAATTGAATGACATTGTTATACCGTTTTACTAAATATCGATTACTTGGAGTAATTTAGATATTTATAAGAAACAGAACTCCTTTATTTAATTTTTGAGGTTCCCTACGAGGGGGGCGCACGAGACATTTTCCAGTAAATCGCTATCAATATAACTCATTACAATTGAACCTGAAATTATATATTACAGTAGTCAAATATTACAATTTTATTGTTGAAAGACAAGAGAGCTAATTGTTAGCTACTTCCAGTATATTATTATATAATGCAGTTCTTTTTTATTAAACTGTTTTATTATATTAACTAATTTACAATTATCAACTTATATAAGTTCATCATTATCTAAAACTTCATCTTCTAAATAACTCATTGATTGACAAGCCTTATATTCATCGATAACATTGACCACACTTTCTCTACATTCGTTAAAGAGGTCTAGCACACGCAATCTTTCTTCTTTATCATTTGATTCTGTGTAGTAATTTACATAGGCTTCCCTTTTTGCCAAAAGATCAAACTGTTTGACCGTTTTACTAAACACATGGGCTATTGAGGTATTATTGGAGATTTGGATTCCATTCAAATTCTTATTCTTTTGTTGTGGTTTATCACCATTTATAAATGGTGACTTTTGGCAATTAACAACATGTATTGAAGACGAGGTCCAAGGCACAAATTCCACTCTCTGTTGAGCTCGAATAGTCCCCTTTCGTATTTCCGATTGGTTCAAGTTATTACCGATCAAGTAATTTAGCATGGAAATATACTTTATAGGCTCATTGACTTTGTTCATTTTGTATCGATCATTCAACAATTCTAGGATGATGTCATATTCATTCAAATTAGTAAAATTATACTTGGATATTTTCTGGTCAAAGTTTGATAAATTTGCAAATGGTGCAATTGATGCAGTCAAAAATTTCAAGTCTGGGGATGGAACTAGGGTTGACAAGATCGATTCGTTCGAACTGTACATATATGTGGGAAACCTTAATGGGTTAGAAATACTAGCCAGTACAAAAGAAATCAATTTATTGGCACTTTCAAAGGCACTATTACTTCTATTATTCAATGTATCATTTGAGATTGATGATGAAATGCCAAATAAAGAATTCTCAATACTGTTAAGTGCGTCATTATCAAAAACAAATGTCCCGTCACTGAAATCAATTAATCTTTTCAACGTCAACAAGGTATTATAAGGTTGCACTACCACATCCGACGTTTTATCATTAGACGGAAATATCAGGAACGTATTTATCAATTTTTTACTTCCGTATCTGTCATTTAATAACTCAAGCAATAATGAACCCACTCCGGACCCAGTACCACCAGCAACACTATGCATTAATTGGAAAGTAGATAAATTTTCACACTTATCACATTCTCGATCTATCAAATTTATCAATTCTTCTTGATACTGCAAACCATATGAATATCCATATTGCCAATTATTAGCGGCTCCATTTCCTTGTTCACTGAGGTGAATATTCCTTGGGTTGAACATAGGCATCTCATTGGTACATTTATTTATAACCGATGGTTCTAAATCGATAAGTATTGATCTTGGGGTGTATTTATTAGAACTTGATAACGTGAAAAATAGGTCAGGTCTATCTTGTCTATCTGTTTTATGGGACTGGTTCCCTTCACTTTCAAAACCTAATCCTTCTTGCGGATTGGATAATATAGTTCCGTCTGGCGATATCCCATGTTCTGTAGCTAATTGATTCCAATATTGAAGACCTACTTGATTACCACATTGACCTGCTTGAAAGGTAATTGTCTCACTATTTTAATATGTTAGTCTTTATTCTATCAAGTACTAATCCGAATCTCACTCTAATATACATACCCAGGCATATTTGGACGCTTGCCTTAGACTTCTTTAACTTGCTTTGATTAAACATCTATAAGTCAGTACACAACGCGTTAATCAAAACAAATATCATTTCATCACGTGATATTTTGTACTCTTTTATTATGGCGTATACATGGTTTCCATAGTCAAGGCAAAAGGACATGATGACTACTTAGGGCATGAATCAACTAATATGTTAATGAAACAAAGTATTAGGCAGCTAAAAAGGCTTGAATCCTTGAATCCAACTAGTTCAAAAAAAAGTGGACGAGACAGGAATCGAACCAGTGACCTTCTGCTTGCAAGGCAGACGCGCTACCAACTACGCCACACGCCCTTAACTTTTATTTGTAAAAGAGCTGGATAAACATATATCGAAACTTTGTAATTACATTGAGAACCGTACCAAGTTCCGAGAGAGAAATTGACAATAGCATTCGAGTAAAATAACATTCGAGTAAAATAGTAATGGAGCAAAATAGTTGAGCTATAAATATAGTTAGTTTCCGTTAAGACTCGAGAAAATGATTTAGAAAAGTGAAACTATACATTGTAAAATATAGTGACACCATCTAACCTCGTTCTTAATTCTAATATAGATACACTTGGAAGAAAAGTGAATCTTCATATTTCTAAAATCAATAGTAGAAAAATACGAGGTGGTGATTTTTTTATTTGTTAATCTTATTCCAATAGATGCAAATTTATATTAAAAATTGCAAATTTTACCGAAAAGTGCGATACTTTTTTGAAAAAACATATATTATTAGATTTACTGGACCATAACTAGAGGGATAACGAAAACTTTAGAAAAATGTGCTAACGCAGCAAGAAGAAAACAAGTAGAACCAATTTAAATTGCAAGTTATTGCTTAATAAGGTTGACCAGCAACAGTAGAAAGCCCATCCGAACAGAAAAAATCAGCTCCACCTTTAAAATAATGAAGAAGAGTATTAATATGGCAAATAAATATAAATCCGAATAGCATGACTGAAACACAGTAATTTAAAAACGTTTGGGTAGTAATAAAATTTAAAATTTTTGGATGGATATCCGTATTGGAATGTACAATGTTAAATCTAGTAGTAAGATCTCTTTCTCTTCTTACAGGTTGGGTTAGTGCTTCCACCAGTAGAAGTAGAAGTAGAAGTACCACTAGTTGGGGTTGTACCAGAAGTTTCAGAACCACCATCAGAACTAACAGTAGCGGTAGCATTATTACCATCACACTTATTGAAAGCTGCAGCCAAAGCATTAACTGTAACAGTCTTCAAGGTATCAAGAGTGAAGAATTGCTTGAATAATGATGGAACTAATCCGGAATCTTTGATAGCATCAACTAATTCACCTAAAGTGACAGCCTTTTCGTCGATTAATCCCTTGATTAAATCAGCACCAAATGATAAGAAGTCCTTGTTGACAACCAATTCTTCGACAACTTGAGAACCTAAACCAGATTTCTTTAATGATTCCATTAATTCGGTAAGAACTGAATTGTCATCTTCACTGTCTGGAATTTGAGAAGCAGTCGTCAATGCTCTTTCTTCAAGGGTTTCTCTCTTGTCATTGTTACCAATGTTAGAAATCTTGTCCTTGATCTTGTCGAATAAGTCACCGATGTATGAACCAGCTAACTTGTAAATTTCACCGTAGAAGTTACAGTCATTGATAAGATCTTCAATAACTTGAGCTGCTAAACCAGAATTGTTCAATGAAGTGAATAAAGTGGTCAAGTTAATGGTACCGTTTTTAATAAGAGAAATAATAGTCTTCTTGACGATTGGAGCAAAGAAATCATCTGTAACGAAGTATAAAAGAATCTTTGAAGAAAGATCAGTGTCCTTAATGTAACCTAAAACGGTTGTGACAATTGGGTAATCTCTTTCATCTAATTGATAAGATGGACTAGTTTCTCTCTTAGCATTGTATTCATTCAATAAAGCAACAGCCTTTCCGATGTTTTCAGCATCTCTCTTAGTAAGACTGGTGGTGGTTGGGGTACCGGCTGGAGCAGCGTTAATGGATGCAGTTAATGCTAAGATTAATGCGGCGGAGGTAGTAGATAATTTCATTATGGAGCGAGTAGTGTTCAGTTATCCCAAAAGTTTATTTTCTGTTCTGAAAATTAAAGTTCTTTGAATAAGGCTTTAAAATTTTGTCAACCTCGACTACTTTTCTTCCGTATTTATATCAAGTTGCATTGGGAATAATTTTTATAAGCTTTCTTACAATTTCACATTCTATTACTATAATAAGTGTTTACGAAAATGGTAAATCTATTTATTGCCTAATTTAGGCACTGTTTCGAAATTATCGTATAATTTTATAATGGATTAAATCTATGAGGTGCAAAAAATTTCCCGATTCGGTAAACAAATAAAGTTGACCATTTAACGAAATAGGAAATTAAAATTTAATATTGAATTGATAAGGACACGACCAAGCATGAAATTCGCTACCCCGAATTTGCAGCAGATAGAAATTACTTGAATAGGGAATGCTTAATATGATTTAATATTAAACTTGACGATCCTATTAGACCAGGGTTTATTCTTAGTTCAAATACTGATCTCCACTTGGGTCTATGTGACAATGTGGCTTAATTCAATTTTTGATTGTTTTTCTTTTATCTTGGTCGGTTTTATCAGTCTACAATACGGTTGCAGTCGTTTAATCTATTCAAATTTAGGCTAGGAACAAAAACATACAGGATTTGAAAATAAGCCTACCAAATATACCATTATACATATTATATCGTAAATTTATTACCCTTGATATGAATATTTTGCAAGGTAGCAAAACCCTGAAAGGCTGGCCTAGCTTAATAGTAATATACCGAGACTATATACATGTAGTGCGTAGTAGCTAGTGTGTTATATAAAATTTATATACAATAATGCAAGGGAGAAGCTAAAAATGAACGTGAACCAGTAAGGGGAGGAATTAGGAATGGCATATAACATCAAGCGAGGAATGAGTAAAATTAGTTTTGTAGCAGAATGAATATTTCCAATCCAAGAATTGTAAAGAATGAATGTGATAGTGAATGGATAAAAAGGGGTTTTTATTAACTAATCAGGGCTTTTAATTGACCATACCTTAAAATTCTAGACACAGACTTCCATAAAACATAAGCATTCTAGAGGCTTGAGACGGTTTGCATAATGATAGGAGTTTGTAAACTTAGCAGGTAGAACTATCTACAGTCTTGTAACAAAAGTGACTGTCTAGCTATAATTGAAATTTCAAGTCGGAATAGATCATTCTAGAAGAACGAGGGGTTTGTTAATTTAGTCTTTAAACACTGTTCAAGTATAACAAGGGCATATCTTTAGGACTAGAAGCCGACATTTTAAGACCAATTATAAATCTTATTTGTTTCCATATTTATGCCTATAAAGTTAGCAGTCAAAGAAATAGTTCTCAGGAGTATATCATATTGATAAATAGATTCTACATCACCAACGTTAAAGTATAGTGTGATTTATTCAATTTTTGCATTGAATCGTTTATTGTAGTATTCTTTTCCGAAGTAAATTTCGAAACGATGGATGTAGTTATAAAAGTCAATTCATCCATGTTGAGCGAATGTATACTATCAGATTCTAAACCTTTCAGGTATTGTGATTTGTGAATCTTCAAGCAGGCTGTTTGATGAATACTAAATGTTCCATGATTATCAGCCAAATGTATTAATGTTGCGATTTCATTAGGTGAATGAAGACTTCTACCCATCCATGGCCTGTTAACTATCAATTCATTTTTAGGGTCCAATTCCATTTTAGATGTGTCCATGTTATCAGTCAATGAAGGTTGACCAGCATCTAACAGGAATAAAGAATAAGTATATTTTTGTTTTGGATATTTGTTAGTTAAAATCCACCTAAAGTTTCCGTCGTCATTTCCAATTTTGGGCATATCACCAAGGCGAGCTTTGCGATGGTTAAATAGATATGTCTGGAAGTTTTTGGACGAGTCTTGAGGATCTGGCTCGAATTCGAATGTATATTTATAATGCTTTTTACCGGAGCTTCTATAAGCAGTACAGAATTTATATCTGTCAACGCTTTTATCAAATAGTCTATTCGACTCCCTAGGCACGGGTATGAATTTATCAATGTTGAAGAACTTCTTAACACCAAATCTTTTTGTTTTGCAGAACTTCACCTCAAGCAATGGCATCGCCAGTCCATTGTACTGTTTCTGTAAAATCAGGTTATACTCTTCGCAACCCTCTGGTAGATCTTTAGTTTTGCAGTAGTCTTTCATAGCATTTTCAGATGGAAAGATGATTAAGTCCTTACCTAGGTTGAAAGTGCAGATTACGATAGTTCTATAATGTGATTCATTTATTTCATCTGTGTTTATATGTGCGTAGTCAGTCTTATCCATTCTGATACAATCTGTTAAGTTGAGTACTAATGATTTCTATGGACAATTATTCGACCCCAACTTGTTATTTATGGGTCCTATCAAACTTATATCTATAAATGCACGACCGTAAGTCGGTGCGCATAATGACATCATGACATTATTATCTGCATTCGCATATTCTATTTTTATAAAAAAAACGATCTCTTATCCATTAGAACCTTCATACTGTATTGGAATTATCTTATTGAACACAGAAAACTATGTAGAGTGTTCTCTTTTCCTTCCCTTTGGATCTGCACTCAATGGCCTGTAACCTCTCTCACCGTGATTATAATCTGAATACCCAAAATCAATAAAATATATCTTGTGAATAAAGAATATTCCATTCGCAAATATCCCCATGCATTACTCTAGAATTATGAATGATTCCCAATTGCTCTTTGGCTTTCTCATATGTTCTTCTATCTTTGGACAAATCAAAGACCTTTACAATTAATTGGTCCGGATCTTTTAAAAAAAACGTTTCTTAAAAAAAGCGTATACATCGTTATCCTTCACTTTGAAAGGTTATCTTCACTTTGAAAGTTGGGATACTTTCTTCCTGATTTTGGATGATTTTCAATTGAACTAATACAATAGTCCCAGGATGGCATCTCATGTTTTAATGCTATTTCATCCAAATACGTCAAATATATATTCTTCATCAGTCTTGCAAATAAACCTATAAATCATATCCAATCCTCTCTTAATTTCATCTTATCGGGACTTACTCACTGATAAAGCTTTATAGATATATGAAGTGAGACCACCCCTTAAAGGAAGACCTGATGAATGACAATGTAGGACTTTATAATTTAGAGGTACTGGCTTACCATCGCTCCATTCGGCATTCAGCTTGATTATGTTCAAAAAAAAAGCAAGGATCTTTCGATATCTATTTCAATTAGTTCTGTTATTTGAATCTGCTAGCATGCTTTTATTTGTGTGGTTGGAGAACATTTTTGCAACAACTTGTCAGATGAATTTCTTCAGTTTTACATCTGTAAATTCCAACATTCTTGCAGAGATCAAAATAGGGTAATTTTTTGACCTTAACTAAAGCCAGAGACTGATACTGTACTTCCCCAGGTCCTGATAAGGGTTACAGATGTAAATGGGTTTTAAAATATTCGATGTCACTTTGGGTACCCATGCTTGTCATCAAGTCGCATTTTCAAATGCAGAGTTTCCAAGTTCTAGTCTGTGACATGCGTACCCATACTGACGAAGTTTTATTCATGGTCTGTGTATTAAAATGTGGTAAAGAAGTGTTATCTATAGAATCGAACAAAGCTACATTTGTAATGCGTATCCTCCCATGGTTGATATACCACCAACATTTGTTAAAGAATGATCAGAGGATCTGCCTAACTCCTCAAAATATTTAAATATTACTGAATTGGTTATGAAAATCAATTCATCCAGAGTCACGGATTGTATGCTTTCTGAATCCAAATTCCTACGATCTTTTGGGATCTTGAGATCAAGCCTAGCGGTCCTTTGAATTGCATACGATGAACGACTATAATTTAAATGGATTAGATTTGCAAGTGCATGAGGTGAACAAAGGTCCAGGTACTGTTCTGGCAGTAATGTTAGATACTCGTTTTGAGGGTCCAACTCCATATTTTTAGTGCCCAACTCCATATTTGTAGTGTCCAAGTTATCAAGCATCGAAGGCTGACCAGCATCCAACATAAATAGAGTATACGTGTAAGGCAGAACCTTATCTCTATCGGTACGAGCCCACCTAAACCGTTCATTAATATTTCCCATCTTCGGTATATCAGATATGCGGCTTTTGCGATTGACGAATGAGTACATTTCGAAGTTTTCAGACGAATTCTGAGGATTTGGTTCGAATTTGAAAGTGTATTTGTCATACATCTTAGCAGAATCCTTGAAAATTGTACAGAACTTAAACTTATCACTGCCTTTATCGAATAATTTCTTTGCACCAGGAGGTGGTGAAGTGAACTTGTTTATAGTCAAGAATTTGCTACCACCAAACTTACTCCTTTTGTGGAATTTCGCTTCAAGTAACGGCATGGCTAAACCTTGTTGTTGCTTCTGCAAATAGAGATCAAAATTGTCCGATTTCTTAGATAGTTTATTTGCCTGTTTATACTCATCAATAGCCTCGTCAGACGTAAATATGATTAGGTCTTTACTTGGATTGTAGTTGCAAATTGCAATTCTTTTAGTATTTGGATTTTTGTTTTCGATGAAGGCATCTTCGCCATCTTGCATAACATCATTATCTAAGTTCCTACTATTAGCCAGATAATGTGACATTATGAAGGTTTGGTTATAACCAATACTTCCAAGGTCCATTGGATATGTATGATTTTATATAGGAATTTGAAAAATAACATGACAAGTCCTGCAGTTTTCGAAGTACTGCTCGACTAACGACTAACGTGGCTAAGTGTGAAGTTCCATGAAACGCATGACAAAAATATGGATGTGAATGCATATATTGGAACCTTCTATTATTCACTGCACTTGACTAGTCATGCCATAGAAATAGTAATTAACTGCAGGTTGCGCAACATGATTGCTAACCGAAGTTTTTATTGGCAAGAGAGAACACTGTGAATTATATGCGTTGACCTACTAGCTAACTAGATTTTACACGTTGAATGCATTGTAATAAAAAGGTTGAAATAGTTTCAGTTGTTTAACTTTGAATTAATTTTATTCGTAAGTGGTAGCGATATGCCACATTTCTAAGTATACTTAACTATTTACTTTTTGCACGGTATCTCAATCATATTAGGCGACGATGTATCAGCTATGACTTTTTTTTTCAAAGCTTCCGAATCATGATATTTCAACGCAAATATAATTTACAATAATTCTAAGCTATTAATGTTAAATTATCCAACATCTTATTCGAAGTTGGGATTGAATTGCTTAATGAAGTATTCTTTTCTGAAGTATATTTGGAGGCAATAGATGTAGTTATAAAAGTCAATTCTTCGGTGCTTAGGGAATATATACTATCAGATTCTAAGCCTTGCAGGTAATCTGATTTATGAATCCTTAAACAAGCTACTTGTCTAATACCCCTCGTTGCATGATTATCACTCAAATGTAACAATGTAGCTACTTCATTAGACGAATGAAGTGTTTTATCCATCCATGGTTTGCTCTGTATTAATACATTTTTAGGATCCAATTCCATTTTAGATGCGTCCATGTTATCAGTCATTGAGGGCTGACCATCATCTAATAGGAATAAAGAGTAAGTGTACTTATGCTTTGGGTATTTGTTAGTAAGGATCCATCTAAATTTTTCCCAATGATTTGTTATGTTAGGTATATCACCAAAGTGAGCTTTACTATGATAATACAAATAGGTCTCGAAGGTTTTGGACAGATCCCGAGGATCTGGTTCGAATTTGAATGTGTACTTATTATGCTTTTTGCCGGAACTTTTATAAACACTGCAGAATGTATATCTGTCAATGCTTTTATCAAATAGTCTGTTTGACTCCCGAGGAACAGATAGGAATTTATCAATAGTGAAGAGCTTTTTAGAACCAAATGTTTTGCTTTTGCTGAATTTCACCTCAAGTAAGGGTATAGCTTGTCCATTGTACTGCTTTTGCAAAATCAGATTATACTCTTCGCAACCCTCTGGTAAATCTTTAGTTTTGCAGTAGTCTTTCACAGCATTTACAGATGGGAAGATGATTAAATCTTTGCTTAAGTTGAAAGTGCAGATTATGATAGTTCTATAAGTAGAACTATTTATTTCTTCCGTATTTATGTGTGCATAGTCAGCCTAGTCCATTATAATTAAACCTCCTAATACAAGAATAACTGATACTCGTATGAGAATATATCTATACCATGCCTTCTCTATTCGATACTGTCTTCATATAGTCATGCTTGCTATCAAGTTGCATGCGCGAATGCAGGAGATTTCGTCTACGTTGTAGGATATAGGTTGACAAGCTTAAACATAATGTTTAGCTTTTATTCATGGACTGTACATAAAAATGGGGTAGATTTGGGGAGAGAATTCATTTACATAGATTCTAAACTTTAATACATAGCCCCAGTAGAAAACGACGAACTAGCTAAATTGTGTAAGGCTTCCTTATAAGTTCTGTTTAATTCTTCAAAGTATTTAAATATGACGGAATTGGTCACGAGAATCAATTCATCCATGGTCACAGAATTTATGCTCTCCGATTCCAAATTCTTACGATCTCTTGGAATATTAATATCAAGCCTTGCGGTCCTTTGAATTGAATATGATGCACGACTGTAACTTAAATGAATAAGATTTGCGAGAACATGAGGGGAGCCAAGATCCATGTACTGTTCTGGCGGCAATGTTAGAAACTCGTTTTGAGGGTTCAACTCCATGTTTATAGTGTCCATGTTATCAACCATTGAGGGCTGACCAGCAGCCAAAATACATAGAGTATACGTGTAAGGCAGAGTCTTGTTACTATCGGTACGAGCCCATCTAAACCTTTCGTTAATTTTCCCAGTCTTAGGTATATCTGATATGGGAAGTTTGTGATGGAAGAATATGTATGTCTCGAAATTTTCTGACGGGTTTTGAGGATTTGGTTCGAATTTGAAAGTGTACTTGTCATACATCTTAGCAGAATCCTTGAAAATTGTACAGAACTTAAACTTATCACTGCCTTTATCGAATAATTTTTGTGCGTCGGAAGGTGGTGGAATGAACTTGCTTATAGTGAAGAGTTTGCTACCACCAAATTTACTCCTCTTGTGGAACTTCACTTTAAGCAAGGGCATAGCTAAACCCTGACGTTGTTTTTGCAAAAACAGATCAAAATTTTCCGAGCTTTTTGTTACTTTGCCCGCTTGTTTATATTCGTCAAGAGTTTCATCAGATGTAAATATGATTAGATCTTTACCCAGATTGTAGTTGCAGATTGGAATTCTCTTAGTATTTGGATCTTTTTTTTCTATGAAGGCGTCTTTACCTTTTTCCATAACTTCATTACGTATTTTGATACTATGAGCCAGAGGACGCGACATTGTGAAGTATATTAGTGTTTATGACTACAACTTTATTTGCTAGGGTCCACTGGACATATATATGTATAAATTTCAAGATAACGTGACGAAACCTTGCGTTTTTCGAATAATAACTCGACTAACGAATTAAGCGGTTAGGTGCAATAGTTTCACCAAACGCATGACGAAAATATGTACGTAGATACATATATTGGAGGATTCTATTAATTGTATGCAAATAACAAAGTGCTGATTCCCTAGAAATCATTTTTGTCAAGAAATTTCTACCATCATAGCAATGTTACAGGAGAAATAGTTGATAGAACACGTTAGTCTCAATCTTAAAATATACTGAAATCATAGGGATTCTTTCTGTCGACTATAAACATTATTACGTAGACGTTTTCCTCATGTATGCTGCGTCTTAGAGAATAGTCGTGGTTTTCATCTTTGGGCTTGAAAATTCTGAATTTGCGGCATTAGAGTGCGAAATGACATGAAATCTGATGCGGATATTAATACTATGAATTGTAGGTATATTTCAAATGATTAAGACACCAATAAGTTATATGAATAGACAAGCTGACAATTACGGATTTCAATAATTAACTAATTTATACTCCCCCACACCAATTGATATCATGCTAGTCGGTGATATATCATTTTTGTATTATCCGCTAATCGTCTTCATAGGGTTGTATTTGGGGATTTTATTCATTATAAATAGGATTCCTAATATTACTGTCAAAGCATTAGGATGGTTGGCCATTAATCATGTCACTATAGGGACAAATAAGGGTCAAATTTATATACGGAAAGTTAAGTTTAAAATTAATGCATTCCGAAGCAGAAATTCTCCATTAAAATTATTCAACCTTGAGTTATATGATATGGAAATAAGGGCAGCCAGATTGGGATCGGAACCACAAGAGAAGGATCCCATCCCTAGTGATCATAGTGTTTTTGATTCAGATATTTCAAACATTTTAACATTTTGCATACCGAACTGGTTATATGAAATATTTTTCAGACGGAGAGTGCTTAATCGATTTAATTTACATCTTTATAGAACTTCTGTACAGCTTCAGGGAATGGATGATCTGATGAAAGCATTTTTTGATTATGCCAGACTTGAAAGTATGTTTGGGTTAGAAGAGAAGAGCCGGCTTGTCGTAACGATCATCAATGGTTATGTTCAGAAGAAGGAACAGGCCAATGAATCGAGCCACTTCAAATTTATTAGAAATGTGGAATTTTGCATTAGTTGTGATACGATTTTAAGTTGCATCAATGATGCACCCAGCAAATTGTCTGTCAAACTAGGAAATTTTGAACTTTCATTGTCATTAGGAAAGATGTCGTTACCCATAGATACATTAATGTTATTCAAAAAGGAATATGGGACGAACAAGAAACGATCAAAGCAGCAAAATAATAGCAGCATACTTCAGTTGAGTGAATGCTTCTTTGAAATTTTCTCAAGTTTGGATATTAAATTTGAGGATCTTAATGTGACCTACGAAGAAATCAAGGTTCAGGTTGCAAATTTACAAATGTTAATATCAAATAAACATCTTCTACGTTATAACGAGAAAAATGTTATGGATTTGCTGTTTTTTTTAACATCATATAGGCTATTCCATAAAGGTGATAAGTCTGTTGAAATTCCTTCCGCTGCTTTTGAATGTACTTTTGAACCGTTGGAATTTCTAGAAACAATTTTAGAAATGAAGAATGGATCGACTAACTTGCTGCAAGCAAATAAAAAGTTGAATTTTGAATCATCATTGACGATTACAAAGCCTAGCGTTGACATTTACCATGATCAAATAGGCCCATTATTCCAAGCACTAATTCCACATAAAGACGATAAGAGTAAACCGAAACCCGCGTTCAATTATCTTGATATTTTGAGTAATATTCGGAAAATATCGAATAAAATTCTTATTATAGACACAACTGTTAACTTTCATTTACCGAAGCTAGGTAATGATGAATTTCATAGAGGTTCAATGCTGAATATTATTGTTTCGTGTACTTTATTATCATTTTATCATAAATTTTTCACGAAGAATTTAAAAAAACGCCTACATAAGGAATCGAAAGGGCTTCAAAAATGCAGTATTGATGGCTTTTTTAAACTTAAGTCTTTAAAGTTTGACGTGGTTGATAATCTAATTCAATTGTCGAAGATCAATTTATTGATATCTTATAATATTTTGGAAAAACGGATGTCAATCAGGCTAATTAACAAGGACATTAAACTTAAATCTATTAACGATATTATTTTTCAGTTAGTTCGAAGGTGCCGGAACCAAATCATCCTGAACCATAATAAAGCATATGCTTCATTTGATGAAAATATTCGAAGAAGAAGGCTGTCTCACAAAATTGAACCTGAAAGTACGAATGAACAAAACTACTTGGAATTATTCAACATTATTCCGTCGTTTTTTTCATCCTTTAAATTCACCAGTTCGAATATTCAGGCCGATATTGCTTGTAAAGATGGATTACCGGATCACATCATATTTGATGAACTTCTTCAAGACGAAATAAATTTAGGTGGTTTTAGAAGAGGGGTTTCTATTAAAATTAGTGACATAGAATTTTCCTATAAGTATTTGAGAGAGGAAATTACTTCTTCTGTTCGGTCCATTCAATGCTTTACGGTAAGTGAATATGCCAACGAGTTAGATGTGGATTCTGACGTCGATGATTACAATTCTAGTGACGTTGATTTCAGTGACATGTCAAGTTTGGATTCAGAGAAGTCTATGAATATAGACACAGAAGAGATCAAGAGGGTTAAAAGGGTTTTAAATGTCACTGATATTTTAATCAGAAATTCCTGTACGGATAAGGAAAGTGAAAAAGAGAGAGATATTAATCATCTATACCTTCACATTACTGCTATTGATGGCCACTTGGATACTTTCTTAGTATGGTGTTCGTTCTATGCTCTGAGCTTGATCAAGTATTTTGCTCCAACTATACAAAAGGATTACACGAAGGAGGAAATATCAGAAATTAAAGGCCCATCAAGAAAATTAAAACTTGATGTTTTTATCGATTCTTCAGCTGTAATTGCAAGATTACCTAACAAGGTCGATATCCTTTTGGAATTCGATACAGTGAAAATGAAAAACATACTCATTGCGAAAGCTGCAAGTTTTGCTTTTGCTAGACTTTATGTTGTTCATCCGACTACAAAATTATGGACGAGGCTATTGACTATCAAGGAATCTATATTTAGATATAACAGTATTATCATTGATGATCAAGGAAAGTTTGAAACTATTGCCGAAAGTATTAGATTGAACATTCCACACCAATTCCTATTTTATACGGTGATTGATAATATAATCACTTTCGTTAAATCAGCTAGACAAATTCGGTATAATTTTGACAATTTGTATTCCAAAATAGATGACTTTAAACGTATCATGCCACATGAAAAGCGTACTACTAATATCCCAAAAGTTGTTGTTAAGTCAAAAATTTTTGGTATCACTTTGGAGAATGATTTATTTGAAAATGAACTTTCGTATATTTACGAATTAGGGTTAATTGAACAAAAAGAAAGGTTGAAAAAACTTAGGCTATTCGAAGCAAAAGTGGACGAGATTATAGCAAATACCAAGCCATCGGTAGATGGGAAGGTTAAATTGACTAATAAAGAACCTATCCGGCGTAGATTCATTTCATCTACTGGTGGATTTTCATCTAGTCCAAAGACAAATAGCCCACTCAGGAAGATGTTTAGTGAATCAGGATTTCATCTGCATTCACATCTGCATTTGCCGTTCAGGGATAAGTTTCATAAACAGAGAAATGATGATTTGTCCAAGTTTGAAGAAGATGATCAATCATGGCTGTATACAAATGACCAAGAGGCTAACATAAAAATAAATAAAGCAAAAGAACTTCTTGATAAACAGTTTGCAACATCATGGATAAAAAAATATAAAAAGTTTCGGAGCATTAAAATTCATACTTGGAGTAAAAGAGCCAGTAGTGCGTGGGGTGAGGAACACATTCACCCTAGAATTGCTGAAAAGTTTAATATTTTAAGTTATGCGTCTGGTCCGCATATGATGTGTGGTTATTTTAAAGATATTGATCTCACTATTGATCAAGCAAGAATACGTGATGTGGACGATTTCATTTATAAGTTTGGGAAGAAACAACCTAGACTTGACTATTCAATTTTAATACCATTATTTATATCGCTTAAAAGTTCATCTTTGTACGTGATGTTGAGAGATTATCCTTTGCCGCTACTTTCTTTTCCATCGAATAAGAATCCAAATAAACCCACAATTAATTTTTCAGGAAATTTTGTGATTAATGAAAGATTAGCTCAGGCTAGAGATGAAATGAGATTTATTTTTGTACCTTTTTCCCCTGCTGCAGCGGCAGCGAAGGATGAATCTGATAACTTTTATTCTGTGTTTGTCCCTAGAACTCTTACTCCGGTAAAAGTGATTCTCGATATGCAATGTGATTTAGACACAAATAGCCCATGCATGATAACATGGTGCAAAGCGTATTCAGCTGGACTACTGGCAGCACTGGCTGCATTCGATAAATTTACTAAACCCAAAATTGATTACAGTCCAATTGGTTGGTGGGATAAAATTGCATTATTAATACACGGAAGAGTTATATTCAATATAGCGAATGAATTATGCCTTCATATGAAAGCATCTACAAGCCCATATGAGCTTATAGGAAGATCAGCAGGGTTTGTGTTTTGTTGGAAGAACAATGTTAGTTTGAGATTTAACAATAATGGAAAGAGTGAGGAGCTAGTAATGTTGGATAGTGATGATTTTGTTCTTGCAATTCCTAGTTATTCATTAGCAGAGAGAAAGTCCTGGAATTTGTTTTATGAACATCATAATATTTATTCAGAAGAAAATGATGCGGACTCGAAAAGGTTTAAAAAGAAAGTAATGCAGTTAACTTCTTCAGATAGAGTTAGATGGGTTTTAGGTGTTGCGTTTGAAAGAAATATAAATAGGACCAATGATTTATCTGATCAACAGCCAAGAACATCCACATTTAAAGCTCATTACGACGTGCATGTAACATCTTCTGATGTGGACTCGTATGAAGACTACCGTTCTGATTATATACATATTGCGCTATCCGTGGTATCGAAATCGTCATCCGGGAATAGTTATAATGCAGCATATTTTACGCCATTGATATTTCACTACTTTTTTCACTGGTGGGATACGTTGACAAAACACACATCGTTACCGATCAAAAAGGGACGACTCTTTTCGCAGGAGCCAGTTGATGTAACACACGTGAAGATGGGAACCCATGTTTTTACGGTTAAATATCAATTGGTTTTTGAACCAATCTCAATATCTCATCTTTATATTCATTCTTCAAGCGGTGAATTGGATCAACAAAATAAAACCGCTTTTACTGGTCTTAAGGGAAAATTCTCAACTTGCGCGATTGATTTACACCAAAGAAAGGAACAGATTAGATACGTTAATGAAAAATTGAATATCAATAATAAGATCTTGCATCTAAAGATGAACGAAGGTGGGGTGAATATAGATGATGCTGACATTAGATTTGTAAATGCCATATTCAATGAGAAGTCAGTCAGAGGATACTTAGCAACATTTATGAAAGACTCAAATAGCACAGACTCGCCTGCCACACCATCACTGAAGTCACTGAATGGCGATTTTAACACCTTTAGCGATTGGATTGAAAATGTAGATATATTTGATAATGACAATTCATGGATCGATCCTGCTGACTATGTTGAATTACATCAAACTGTGCAGCCATCATCTTACCCCAATATTAGAATAATGCCGTTTTTCTTCAGTCCCAAATTCACGTATTTCAGAGAGTTTTCACTCCACGACGACGGACCATTTCCATTCGGCAAGGAAAAGTTTCATAATTGTGTAATTGGGTTAGAGAAACCGGAAAGGACCCAAGCGATTTTACTAAGTAAAAGAAAAAAGAACGTTGAAGGGGAGATGCAGGGACATGAAGAGCTCCTTCCTGGATTGGAACCTTTAGATTCATCTGAGACTCTCAATGATAATATAGAGAGAATTAAAGGAGACATTAAGATATGCAAAGCGAAATTGGACATAATAGAATCGATAAAAGAAAATTTTCCGGATACGACTGAAAATTCCCATATTACAGAAAATCTACCCGTTGACTCACAAGAATCAGTCGAACCTTCACATACGAATCATAAATCTAATGATTATATGGAGGAAGCAAATACTAAGCATTCACCTGCAAGTGAATTTCATAATAAATTTGTAATTCACAACCCACAATTAAAATGGCACAATGATTTGAGAGATTTATTTATGGAATACATAAAGAGAGTTGGTGATAGAAAATCCCAAGTGTACTTCATGGGTAAAAAAGCTGTTGATTTGGCGGAGGCTTTCATCAATACAAGGAGAGACGACGAGGAAGCTGAGGAAGAAGAAAGAGAATCGAATACGAATAATTCAGCCGAAAAGATATTTAGCAAAGAATACAAAACTGGGGAAGAAATCATTAAGAATTTTAACCGACAGCTTAATGAAATTCACAATAACGAGCAAGAAGTAGAGGATAAATATTTGATCAAACTTATACATCCACAGATTCAGATGGTGAGCGAGAAAGATATCAATGCCTGTATTTTAGTGACCTCAACAGATGTGGAATTGAGGATAGTTTCAATCAATGTTAAGGGCATGAATGATGTTGTGAGTGAGAATAATGGCGTTGGTAAGTTAGTTGAATCGAGATATGGTGTATCGTTTAAAGATTCACATGTATTTGCATTCAAAAAGTCAGAAGACTCTGTCACCGCCTCTGACGTGCCGTATGGCTCTAAAGTTTCCGAAGTTAATTGGCCTCCCTGGTTGGAGACGGAGACTTGTTACGACAGCTCGTGGGCTAAGGAGCAACTAGTTGTAGAGAGAACCTCAATGTCATTTTTGCTAATGAAACCTAACCATTTGGTAGCAAGTGATAGCAAGGCGACAATACAAAATAACGAAATTTCGTTACATGTATCGAAACTAGTCATTACAGCAAACTCTGACCAATACTCCTCTCTTTATTATGTGATTACAGACCTTTTACTGCAAGTAAACACACGAAGAGATAGTTTGCTTAACAAATTAGATAAAATCGTTTCTTTATCAGATATTAAAGAGTTTAATGGGTTGAATATAAGAATTAAGGAGTTGCAAGATAATATAAGGACTTATTTGGATATACTTTTGAAATTGAATCAGAGAGATATTCTATTGGATAATGATCAAAAAGAACAACTGAAGACCATGGAAGTTGAATTGGAGAGAATGAATATTGAATTATTTGTTTTAATGAACGGTTTAGGTGTTAAGAGCTCAAAGAATCAAGTAAACAACAAAGAAACATCAAGATTATTGACAGTCGAGGCGGATCAGATCATTTGGCACCTTTTAAACGAAGATAAGAAACCATTTATTGATTTTGCTTTAGCTAGATGCAGATTCATTAGAGTGGATTCAGTTGATGGAGCAAACATTAACTTGGCAGAAGTATTCATGGCTCAAGGATTCAATTTACAAAGCGATGCTATGTATCCAGAACTTTTAACGCCTCATTTAGACTTGAATGAACATACAATACCTGATAGTAATAAAGACAAACCTATTTTGAGTACCACATGGAAAATGTTGAATCACATTGGTGGCATATCCATTATGCAAGATGCAAAAGTTGAGGTGCAGCCTTTGAAAGTTCAGTTGGATTATCATACTACTAGAAAACTTTTTGACTACTTGTTTCCTAAATCTGAGGTCAGTAGCGAAGATGAAGAAGACGATATACTTGAATTTAACGAAGAAATAAAGAATTATGGAGCTACTAAAAAGCGTACAACCAATCCGTTCAAGAAACTTATGAAGAAAGAACGGGATCAACTGGTTGAAAGTATTCTCAAGGATTCGGATACCATTGGCTCTAACAATTCTGATTTAGTATCGACTACTGTTTCATCATCAGACGATATCGTATTCAGAACTGACACTAAAGATAGTTCCAACAAATCAGTCATGTCAGATAGAAATTCTACTGATATCAACAAAGATAATATGGATGATATTTCTATTATTATGAATAGATCTTCGAGGTATGTGTCCATTGTTAACCTTGAAATAGCCAAAGTCAAACTGTCTATTAGTTTCAGCGCACCGAAACGTTTGAGTATTCTCAATGTTCACGATCTAGCGTTGACTATACCGACATTAAGGTATAGGAACAAAATGTGGTCAGCAGAGGAATTTGTACTCAAATTGAGAAAGGATATTATAAAGATCATATTGAATCATACAGGAAAAATCTTGGGTAACAAGTTCAAGCCAACGAGAAAGAAACCCAAGATAGAGCCTTTAAAGCAAATATCAAACTACGCCTCATTTCTAACTTTGCAAGATTTGCAGCTGAAGGATGAAGAAGACCTGGAAGATCAAACTCTGCAACTGGAGGGTTCGAGCCAAAATGTCATTAGAACTGAAAACAAGGGTTCTAGGGTCAAACCTCAGTTGGATACTATAGTTGATGATAATTCAGAGAGTGGCTCGTCTTAATTAGTTCCTTACGCTTGAATGAGAGACGGCTTGAACTCGAAATGTATAAGTAGCTACGCACAAGACCTATTTATTAATTAATTATTTATATAAGACTGTGTATATTAAACATATATAACCTATTTGGAGGTGGTTTTGTGTAATATGTTTTTCTTGTTCAAAAGATATTCAGGGTAGACCGGGCAATGTATGGGATACTTTGTAGCATTATATTCTTGAATTGGTTCAGTAGGATATGGCGTTCTTTGAAACTATACGCGACAAGGCCGTGAGTACAATTAACCAAGTATTGGATAAGAAGAATGTTTCGGGTCTCACAAAAGATCAATTGTTTTGTCATGAAAATCGTTTACCAGGAGATGAATCAATTATAGATGAATCAGCGGTTGAGGTTGGAATTAAATCAGAAGAAAGTAAAGATCATTATAAGAATCTACCAATTCCACAAGGTAGAATATACTTGACACAGCACTTTTTAGTGTTTCGTGATGCATTTGATAGAAGGAATTGTTCTTTTTCATTACACTTATCTACGGTTAAGAAAGTTGAAAGATTACCCACAGCATCATACGGATTTGCATTGGCGATATCTACACATAGTAAACTAAAAATCACATTGTCTCTTATTGGGCTTCGGTCAGAGAGTGAAAAATTTGCCCACAATATGAAATTGGCATTGAAGAAGAACTTGCCCAATATTCAAAAGTTACAACCTTTCATTCAAACATGCTATTCTGAATATTTGTTATCCAAGAATAAGATATCAGATGAGAAGATTGAAGTAATCCCAGCGGGCGGTCTTGGATTAAAGTTCAAGTTTCCAGGTAATGCTAAGGAATCTAGAGATAAATCCAAAATGAAATTATGGTTCGATCTTTTCAGGGTAGATGGGAGGAATTTGTCGCTTATAAAGTCACCTATGTTTTATAGGTTGGTAAGAGTCGGCTTACCCAATAGGTTGAGAGGTGAAATATGGGAATTATGTTGCGGGTCAATGTACTTAAGATTAGCAAATCAAAAGGAATATCAAGAATTATTGAATAACAATAAGGGCAAGCAATCATTGGCCATCGAAGAAATAGAGAAAGATTTAAACAGATCGTTACCTGAATACGCTGCCTATCAAAGTCCAGAGGGAATTACAAGGTTACGTAATGTATTGACGGCCTATTCCTGGAAGAATGCGGAAGTAGGATATTGCCAAGCCATGAATATTGTGGTTGCCGCTCTACTTATATTTATGTCAGAAGAACAAGCATTTTGGTGTTTAAATGTTTTGTGTGATAGAATTGTTCCAGGATATTACTCACGAACAATGTATGGTACACTTTTAGATCAAAGGGTATTCGAATCTTTAGTTCAGGACACAGTACCAATGTTATGGGAGCATATTACAAAAAATGATATTCAATTGTCTGTTGTATCTTTGCCGTGGTTTCTTTCATTGTATTTAAGCTCTATGCCCTTGGTATTTGCATTCAGGATTCTTGATGTTTTTTTCTTGCAAGGTCCGAAAACATTGTTTCAAGTTGCAATTGCTATATTAAAATTAAATGGTGAAGAATTGTTAAAGACAGAAGATGATGGAACGTTTATTTCAATCTTAAAGAATTATTTTCAAACTTTGGATCAATCGGCGCACCCTGACTCCCCAAATCAAAAATATAGATCGATCACCAAATTTCAGGAATTATTAGTAACAGCATTCAAGGAATTTTCTGTTATAGATGATGATATGATAAACAAACATCGTAGTAAACACAGAGATACAATTTATCAAAATATTTCTACATTCGTTAAGAGGACCGAATTGAGAAACCTACCAAGGACCAACAATTTTAATCAAGATATATTGGGCATAATTTACGATAGATTTTATTCTATCGTAGAGTCTTATAGTGTTACAATGGGTTCGGGATCTAGTATGGATTTTAAGGCGTTCAAAAGATTTATGTCGGAAATCTGTGATTGGGTCCAAGACCAAAATGATACGGAACAACATAATGACCTGGATGAGAATAATGAAGAATTCTTACATAGGTTATTTTCCCACTGGTCCTCCGAAGGGGAAGATACACTCACTTTGTCTGATTTGGTCGTAGGTTTAAATAAGTTATATGAACCTGATTTAATGACTTCGATAACGAATTTCTTCCAGTTATATTGCAATGAAGATGGAAAAATTGATAGAGAAGGAATTTTACAAATCTCAGAAGATTTGTTATACCTTACAACTCCCTGGAAAGATGGCTTGCTATTGGACCATATAACGGAAGGGGCGATCGAAAATGCAATTGCTGATGAGATTTATAAACGACAGAAGGAGAATGGAGCCAAGTTTGATGAAAAAGATATTTCTTTACCAACAGAAGCTAATATAGATAAACAAAAATTGGAGAATCAACAAATGGAAAGATACCTATCAGCGGCAAGTACCTTTATACAAAGGTCTTTTGAATACGCACAGCCGGAGGATGACGAATTGCTTATCAAGGATTTGGCAATTGATAATAGAATTTCACATAATGCTGCACTCAATCCTAATACACCCGTTTTCGTTAATTTACCAACATTTAGAATGGTTGTTTTAGCTGATGAAACTTACGAATTATTCTTCAGTAAGACATTGCGAACCTCTATTCATGTATCGAAACCGCTTGATTCCAAATTTAATACCATCCGTAATTTGAGAGACATGTTCGATGGATTACTAGCTGATGGTAGGAAGGTTGCAAATAAGGTTCGTCGTCGTATGGACTCAGCTGCTACTAGCACTTTGAATAATCCTAACGGTGGTAGTGACAATGCGACATTGAAGTCAAGCAGCCCAGAAAAGAGTAAAGACGAAGAAGAAGAAAGGGATGATGACTTTGGTGTTATTTCTATAGATGAAAAGGATAAAGATTTATTATTAGGAGCTGAGGGCCAGGTTTCTGTTGACCCCATAAAGAATTCCCATTCGACTAGCGAAGAATTATCAAAATTCCGGAACGCGGAAGATATGTCAAAAAAACAAAATATTGGAAAAGATGTTAGTGGTAAAGATAAAAATTTGATCGAATTCGAAACCTAGAGTATATATATGTAAATGTTATTTCAAGTGCCATTTAGAATACATACACATAAATCAAGTGATAATAAATTGAATACAACATAGTGCTATATACTTAAAAACAATGTACTAATATAAAAATAGTATATAAATATATGGATAGGATAAATGTTAAATAAACTAATCTTTGCCGAAAAGTTTTCTTAATTTAGCAAACTTTCTCTTATCTTTAGATTTAGACTTCAGAGTCTGATCAGTTTTTCCTTCCACAGAAGTGTTATTATTACGATTTGGCAGGACATTAGAAACAGGAAGTTCATTATTTTTTGAAGAATTTTGAGTCGTGGTTTGATTAGCACTATTTTGGTTACGTGTTAACCCTCCAAGGTCTTCATCGGAATCATTGAATCTCGAAGAAAATCCTCCACCAAAAAATTTACTCCTTCCTTCAGGACCTTCTTCCTCATCAGAATCAGCAAGCCTTGATCTGAAAGCCCTACGGTTTTCAACAGGATTGGAGCTAGTTTCATTTGTATTCTGTGGTGGATTGTTCAAAGAGTTATCAGCTCTTTGGGTCTGATTTGGCGATGATATGTCACGCAAAGTTGTTCTGCGGGCCTTTTGCGCCTGTTTCGTAGCTGGTCCATCAGAAGTCTTCTTTGCTGCTACTGGCATGAAAGATGAATTTGGTCTAGCATTGGCCTTCGCATATAATTCGGCAGCTTTCGTCTTTGAGGGTGACTGATAATTTGGTTGCAAGGCCGGGTGAGGGTTTATATGATTCACGTAAGATGATCTATCTCTAGTAGGGTTAACATGCGCTGATGTCCTATCTCTTAACTTCCTGTTACCCATTCCGTTAACAGGGGGATGATGCTGATTACTCTGAGGAAGAGTTTCAGGAAGGGTCGACTGTGGCCTGAGCGTTCTTGATGCCAAGCCTGGACCCTGAGTGGATGGTGATTTTCTTAATGTTGAAACCCGCATGCGTTGATTTGATTGATTTTGTTGATTGTGCTGATTTTGTTGATTTTGTTGATTTGAATGATTTTGTTGATTTGAATGGTTTTGTTGATTTGAATGATTTTGTTGATTTGAATGATTTTGCTGATTGTCATTATATTGGTTGTTTGATTGAGGCTGTTGCATTTGATTGGCTCCACCATTAAATTGAGCACCAGCATCATTTAGTTGCGACGAGGATAACTTAGAATTCAATCTCGTGTTTTCTGCAGTCGCTAAAGAAAGATAAGCATCTTGTGCAGCATTCTTTACTGTGGATGAATTATTTGACGAATTATAGAATGAGCTAGAATTTTTCATTGCAGACTTCACTGGCCTTTTTTCCGACCTAGGTTGCATGTTAGAATCAAAACTTCCTGTTGAACGTGCTGAAGAACTAGAACTATCATTGTTAAGTGACGATGTTGGGATCTGTAATGTTCTTATAGCCATCTCCTCAACTGTAGGATCTTCAACATCGAGCATATCATGATTTGATTCTCTAAGTTGCATGGTTTCATCAGTACTGATAATTTCTGGTTCTGGATCAAATTTTGGCCCAGAATTGTTTGTATCGATAATTTCCAGCAGTGAGTCAAAATTTGGTCTCAAATGCTTTGCAAGATTGTTTTCTTCAGATTTATCATATGGCACTTCTTCAATACCGAAGTCTTCTTCGTCAGTACTAACAGGTATTGGATTGTCTATTATACTATCACGATTTAATAGTTCTTTAGAATCGCCATACTGACTGATAACATTTAGCTCTGCGGCCCCTTGGTCATTCTTAAAGCCATTCTGAAGATGCTCTGAAGTCCCAATATCGGAATTTGGCTCATCATCTACAATGTTTTTCTTTTCTAGTTCGTCGACAACAACACTTGATGCATCTATAGAGGCCTCAGGTATAGCTTCTTGTTCATAGATGGAAGTCTCATCGTCCGCATTTACGTCTTCATCTCTTGAGATGTCATTAATTTCACCTAATGATGGTTTTTCAATTGTTGCATTTTTATTAATGTCTGACCCTCCATCATGTCCGAGACGCTTATTCTCCATTTCGTCGACAATGACCAGAATATTTGGAAGAGGCTCATCTTCTTCCTCATCATCTTCATCAATAACTTCAGATACATCTATGTCCTTATTACTTGCAGCTTCTTTCTTTAAGAGTAGGATCTTCTTTTCGTTTTCTAATCTTTCCAATTTTATTTTTTCATACTCTAAGCGTTTTAATTCTAAATCTTTCGAAACCTGCTTTTCATGGTCTATTTGCTGTTGTAATCTCTGCAATTCTGAATCCTCATTATGTCTTCTTCTAGATTGGACTTCATCATTTTCAGCCATTGTTCCCAATGCAGGGTTTCTACTTAAACTCGATAATCTTTGATGCGAGGGCTTCTTATTCGTACCTGTTATTGAACTTAATGATGTTGTTCTTGGGAGTCTTTTTTGAGACAAAGAAGTCATCGATCCCGATCTAGGCATTGATCTCATTGAATTATTTCTCGCCACCTCCTTTTGGTAGACAGTTTCTGGAACCTCAATGATCTTGATACCGTTTGGAGTTGGTATATACTTTTTGACCATTTTCACATTGCCAGATTCTTGGTGTGCTTGTCCATTACGCGAAGGAGGCGGAGATAATTGATGTGACAACCTTAAGTCTCTCATTTTAGCATTATTGTAGTTTTGGGTAGCATCCTGATTGATATCATCATAATACGAATCGTCAAAGCTATCATCTAAGTCATAGCCTCCCTTCGATTGTCCTTGTATTGACGACCTTCTCTGCGCAGAATGGGGTGGAGTCTGCATGGAATGGGAGTACGTCGAATTGTAAGAGGCATCAGAAAAATTTCGGAATTTGTTACTGCTAGGACTTCTTGTAATAGAATCCCTTTTCAAAAGACTGTTGCGTTTCTGCGGTGGTTTCGACAAGTATTGGTTTGAGCCCCCACTGGTTGCATTTACACCAGGACCTCCCTGTTGCTTGAGCGACTTTCCAATACTCAATGCTGCTGCCAATGCATTGTTGTTGGGTTGATTCGTCCCCGATGCAGCAGGATTAACCCCAGTGTACGAGGTGTCATGTACACTTCGATTCTGACGTCTGGAAAACATCTTCTTACTTCGTGGTTGAATTTCTTGCTTCAATTACGCCTGTATTAGATAGATTAGTATAATTTATCCAAATCCTGGTGCTAATTTAACTCGACTTGCCTCAATGTTCCTTACAGTTTCATTTATTCACTAACGTTTTTATCAAGGACACTAAAAAGTTTCGTTGCTGGCGTAGTCAACGGTCACGTGTAAAATACTTTGTCCCCATTCCCATCTACTAGGCAAGACTATATAGTCGTTTTATATACATATGGATTTGGAGACGTTCTGATTCTATTTAACCCCAAAGTATTCGAGAGCCACAACCCACATCTCTGACCTTGCTGCACAATTATTCCCAAAAATGGGCGAACGCTAATCAAGAATCCTGTCCATAAGAACCCTTGTATGAGCGGCATAAGAATTTGATCTTTGAACACGGCGTATGCAATTATGGACGGAGAGATTGGCCCTATAGGACGAACTCCGCTTGGCCCACTTGGACTTTCTATTATTTGTTGTTCTTGGTCGTCAATTTTGCCGCTAAGTAAATTCAATTCTTTTTCCGTAAGCGCTGCGGAATTTTCAGCTTCGGGAGCGGGAGTTTGGTATCCAGCATATGAGTATAATGTTCTCAAGAAAGATTCTTCGAATCTCAAATCAGGAAGCGTGAAACCCGACATTTGTGATGATGTTAATGATAGACGCCAGAAGAAAACCCCAGGCGAGTTGATTTATATCTGAGATGAGGGCTAACCTGTAAATAATTGCGATTGAGAAGAATTTGCTGGTTATGTCAAAAACTCGACCAAAAGTGAAAATTATAGGCAAATACAAATAGAATACACTGACAAATACAAGAATAACAGGAGATGGATATAGATAAAGGAAGTGACACAGGTCCAAGAGTGACTATAAGACATACTGATAAAGAGCATGTTGATTTTATATTGAAGGATGTTGATTTAGCGATGGCAAATTCTATGAGAAGAACGATGTTGGCAGAAGTGCCTACCTTAGCTATAGACCTTGTTGAAATCGAGGTGAATACGTCAGTGTTAGCAGATGAATTCATTTCGCATAGATTGGGGTTAATACCATTGAATAGTGAGGGTATCGACAATTTATCGTATTCTAGGGACTGTACCTGTGATCAGTACTGTGCTAATTGTTCGGTGAAGTTAGAACTCACTGCCAAGTGTGATACAGATTCGACCATGAGCGTATATTCGTCTGATTTGGCTAAGTTTCATAATGGTTCGAAATTGGGGGACCCTGTGGTTCGTGATAGTCATCGTAAGGGACCACTTATTTGTAAATTAAGAAAACATCAGGAATTAAGAATAACTTGTATTGCCAAGAAGGGTATTGCAAAGGAACATGCCAAATGGTCGCCTTGTGGTGCCATAGGATTTGAATACGACCCTTGGAACAAGTTGAAACATACAGACTACTGGTACGAAGATGATGCGGATGAAGAATGGCCAAAATCGGCTAACTGTGACTGGGAAGAAGCTCCTGATGCAGACGCTCCGTTTGACTATAAGGCAAAGCCATCGACATTTTATATGGATGTTGAAACAGTAGGTAATTTACCTCCTAACGACGTTGTTTTAAAGGGTATCGAGACTTTACAATTGAAGCTTGCGGGTATTTCGATGGAATTAAATAAAGACAGTATAGAGGCCAGCAATGCTGCTTCCGGGGGATTCACGACATACGGTAGATCGCCTGGAGGAAATTCTCCAGGAATGGGTAACTCTCCTTATGGCGGTGATAATGGCTTTGGTAATTCTACATGGGGTTAAATCACTGAAAATGATTTATCCTTTCTACCTGTCTTCTTTTTATTTCTCTAGATCTATGGGATCTAGTTTCTCTTGTATAATTATATCTATATATTAAATATAAAGTTAATGTAATTCGTTCCAGGACACAAGGTCGTCAAATTTAACCAACTTTCCGCCAAATACATCCAATGCACTTCCATAGGTTAAATCAACCTTGCCATCACTCAATTTACTGACTGTATCTAAGTCTGTGACCAGTCTGGCACCACCGGCATAGACTATCTTCCCTTCGAATCCCTCGGGACACCATTCTCCCAATTTCGCCACAAGATTCACATCAATCCCCTTGCACAACCCTTCGACATCTGCAGCATGTATCAAAAATTCGTCACAATATTGAGACACTTTACCCAAAAATTCTGCACTTAATTTGCTGTTAGTCAAGGTCTGCCATTTGTTCATAGCAACTACCCATTCAATCTTGTCATCAACTCTTAACTCTCTGCAACTCAAATCAACAATCAATCTCGATTTGCCCACCAATTCAGAAACTTGTTTTAGCTTTGCCCAATCGAATTCTTTACCTTTATCGCTATCACTAAATAACCAACTTGTCAAAATAACATGGGAAGCTTTATGTACATCCAACCATTCCAATGCGTTACTACCATTGATACCACCTCCTACTTGCAAGTTATTTGGCCACAGTTGACACGCCAATTTAGCTGCTTCATCATTTTCAGGGTTAGAACCTAATTTGATTACATGGCATCCATTTATACCTGCATTCTTGTATAATTCGGCATAATATGACGAAGGTTTGGTCGAAACGAAGTTCTCTGTAGTAGTTGATTTATCGTTCAATTCTTTTGTATCATCTTGTGTCAAAGTACCGCCAACTATTTGCTTTACTTGACCAGAATGTATGTCAATGCACCCTCTGAACTTTGTCATTCTGCTTAATATGAAATCTTTACTAGTATAACCTGAATAAGGTGTTTATTTAATGTTAACAGGTTATGTACCTTTTGGTATCGAGACTATTTCAAGCCGCACTGGTTATTAAAAAAATTTAAATGTCTCTGGTTTATGTTCCATATTACCACAACATCAAACAAACGCAACATGAGTGATGACGAGTACTTGAAGGCATTAGAAATACAAAGGAGAAACTTTGAGGCCCAATTTGGGTCTTTGGAAACGATGGGATTTGAAGATAAGTCCAAGGTGGATGAGAATAATGCTGAGGATGGTCTGAGCGATGAGGAGGATCAAGATGAAAATGAAGACGAATATGAATTTAATGGGTTTGAGTCTAACGATGATTCAGATTCAGATCAAGACAAGGACATAGACTCAAGTGAAGAATTTGTTTCGGACGAGGAAGGGACAAGAGTTGTTCCTAAAGTGGTGAAGATAAACGACCAACATTCCACTAATAACGGAACCATAATAAGCAAGGCCGACAAAAAGTTACTCAGATCAGGTAGAGCACCCACCCTTGCCGAAATTGCCAGAAAAGAGCAAGAACTCCAGAAAAAAAATAAGAAATCCCAACAAGCAGTGAAGGAAGATGAAGATAATTTGGAAAACGACTTGAAGTTACAGAGATTATTGCAAGAATCACATATATTGGCAAACAAGGTTGAATACTCTGGTGCGGATGTCACATTGCAAACGCTTGATTTCGAGGCACCTACCGGTAACGCAAGGAAAAGAACACTTGACTCACGTCTCAGAAACATCTCCTCGGTTAACTCCTCTACCAAAGGATTGCCCAAGACGTTGGAGAAAATGCCGATGTCGATGAGAAAGGGTATGATCGCCAGCCGTGAACGTCAAATCGCCAAGTATGAGGAAGAAGCCAGGAATGCAGGTATCATTTTGTCAAAGGTCAAGAAAGGTGAATTGAGAGACATTAAACAAGGAAGGGGCTCCACATTAGCCAGTGATAGATTGGGTACTGGTAAAAGGGCTCCAATGAAAATTAGAGACAGAGGATTGAAAATTAATTCGGTAGGTAGATCTACAAGGAACGGTTTGATTATATCTCAACAAGAAATTGACAAAATTAACAATCAAGGTCGCCGTTTCAACAAGAAGAAGAGATAATCTTCGGGATTATAGACATATATATATATACTTATATTACTGTATAATAGTTAACAGGAGCATCTGTCAAATTTCAACGTGACAATTATTTTAGCTGCAGGATTATGTTTTAGAGCGCTAAAACATAAACAAACGATTTAGTAATGATAGACTTAAACAACTTATACCTATAGACGTACATAAAGATGAGTTCGCAAGTATTACCCAAGAAAAGGGGGATACAGAATGGAAATGGCAGAACACCTTCTGGTAGGGTTAGTTCTCTACACGATCTTTCACATAAAGGTAGGGTCATCTCTGGAAGAACTCTATCCAAATCAAAACGAGTACCTTCAAATAATAGACATGTTAGTCGTGGGGACCTTTTTGTGGGTAGAGGTGAAGATGCAAACGGGTCGTTTTCGGAAGAAAATGCCATTCACTTTGACGAGAATAAGAATACAATTTTGTCCAATTTCGAAGAGTGGATAAAGCTATCAACCGACAATAAGATTACATCGAAAAATTCGTGGCAATTCGCCTTGATTGATTACTTTCACGACTTGAATGTTATAAAGGATGGAGAAAACATTAATTTCCAAAGGGCATCTGCAACTTTGGATGGGTGTGTCAAGATTTATCTGAGTAGAGTGGAGTCTGCGGCCACTGAGACAGGTCGGTTGTTAAGTGGATTAGCCACCAAGAAGGGTCAGGAAGCGAACGAGAACGGAGAGGGCAACGAGGATCAGCTCAGTGAGTCGGAGGAAGCAAACGACTCACAAATGGGCGTTGGTGACTCTAAAAGGAAGAGAAAAATAAATAGGGTTCTTGAATCTACTTTGGTACCGTTTGAAACAATAAGAATTAGAAAATTGGACCAGGAGTTGGCTATTGATCCGTTATTCAAAAAGGCGTTGGCGGAGTTTGATGAAGGCGGGGCTAAGAGTTTATTGTTGAACACGTTAAATATTGATTCTTCTGGTAGAGTTGTATTTGATGCAACATCTAACCCTATCAAAGATGAATCTGCAGAACCGAGTCCCATATCGCAGGAGAGGATACAAGGAACTGAAATTGAACCAGATATCTCTACATTACAAAATTTTATTTTCAAGAATCCTGAAGAGTTAGATGATTTGACCATATGTCCATCCTTGGATCAACTAGACGTGGTGCTTGCAGATGTCAATAAGGCTAAGACTATATTAAGTGATGTAAACAACAAGTTTCTGCACGACGAACAAAACGACGACGAATTTGCTGATAGAAATAGAGTTAACGATGAAGTGGACCTTGAATTCCCTAACTATGATGATGATGATTTTGGTGATGTAAATGAGGGAAATTTTGATGATGAAAATAACGAACAACAAAATAAAGAATTTAATGAAACCATATCAGAACAGATGGTGGGTAATACAGGGAATGTCATGACCTCGGCTGCAAGTGCCAAGCTCCTTGATGTCGATCTTATGGCGTATTTTGATGAAAGAATGAAAACCAATTGGAGAGGGCCAGAACATTGGCGTGTTGCTGCGATTAAAAAATCAAAACGTGTAGAAGATCCAACTATCAAGAAGGAAACTAATGTATCAGAACAAGCACAAAAGAAGAAACAGTCAATAATCATAAATTTTTTTGACGACGATGACGACGATGATATCGAAGATAAATTATTTGAAACCCCTAAAAACTCATTATCAACAACCAGGAAACCCGACGGAAGAACGAACGAAAACGCTAATAGACTTCCCGAAGACATCCAGTATAATTCGGTCAGACTTACAAACTTATTTATGAAACCTCAGACTTCCATTTTATACTTTCCAAAGAAGGATATACTGTCTTCACCAAACCATTCAAAGCCACTTACGGACGAAAACTTCTTTGCCAACCAATACCATCAGAACCAAGAGAACGACAGAATGTCTACATCGATGCGCCAAGCTGAACTTGAAGACCTTGACGATTTTGGTAACGACGACGATTTCGGAGGCATAGATTTCAATGATGCATTGGAAGGTGGCACAATTTTAAGCGGGGCCGATCCCGACAAAACAGGAGGAATGGCAGGTGGAACACAATTGATTACTGGTGGTAGAAAAGTGCGACCAGAATACGTCAATTTCTCCCGGATGGCAAAAAGAGTTGATGTCAAACTTTTGAAGGATAATTTGTGGAATAGCTTGAAGCCGAAGAACGGACCCACAACAGATGATTTACAGCCTAAGGAAGAGCCCCGTTCTCCTACCGAGGATACTAAAACGTTCGGAGACGTAGTTACTTCCGTTGGTAAGTTGTACGGATCGGATGAGAAAAAGGATTTATCTACAAGTTTTTGCTTCATTTGCTTACTTCATTTAGCAAATGAGCATGGCTTTGATATAGCTCCAAACGAGGCTCACGATGACTTGGCAATCACTGGTATATAGTATTTTGTATTGTATAGTGAATGCAAAATTATTAAGTTACGTGATCTCAAAATTTGTCATCACCCACTACCAAAATTTCGAATCCTTCGTGGAAACTCATAGAATGGCGTTAAATATTCATACAATTGAATGTTGTAAGATTATTTGTAAATAACCAAATTATGTATAATATATCAAGGATATTACCGAGAGTATCCAGAAAAAATGCTTTCGGTGTATGGCCAAGGCCATCGAGTATTGGATTTAGACCTATGATAGCAACAAATATCAGACTAATTTCCAACTCAGCCGCCAACATTTTGCAAAATCAAGAACAAATTGCAAATAATGACTTGAATAATGCTGGGGCACAAGGGGAATTTTATAAGTCCTTGATGAACAACAACTATCCACATTTGGTAGTTCAACGTTACGAAACTCCGGGTATAGCGTCTTCTCCAGAATGTACAGCGATCTACATTGATGCTTTGAATAAGGTTGGTAAAAAGGGCAAAGCAGAGCAAGTTTCCAAGAGTCTCATGACTTCTGGAGCTGGGATTCAGAATGGAGGACCTTTACCTCATGGGTTTGGCTCTAGATATGAACCAGTTCACGTTATCGTCTCCGAGTCGGCAATCACGATCATTTCCAAATGGTTGAAGTGGTTAATACCAATAGCATTGTTGACTTATGGAGCAACTAATGCATTTAATTATTTGGTTGAAAATGGAACTATTTTCAAAAACAGTGAAGTGGCGGACAAGTCGGTTGATGTATCGCAATCCACGGTTAGATTTAAAGATGTCTGTGGATGTGACGAGGCCAGAGCCGAATTAGAAGAAATTGTTGACTTTTTGAAGGACCCATCGAGATTCACCGGATTGGGAGGTAAATTGCCAAAAGGTGTCTTATTAACTGGTCCACCAGGTACTGGTAAGACCTTACTTGCAAGAGCCACTGCGGGTGAAGCCGGTGTTCCATTTTTCTTTATGTCAGGATCTGAATTCGATGAATTATACGTTGGTGTTGGTGCTAAAAGAATTAGAGAATTATTCGGCCAAGCTCGTGAAAAATCACCAGCTATCATTTTTATTGATGAATTGGACGCTATTGGAGGAAAGAGAAATCCTAAGGATCAAGCATATGCTAAGCAAACTTTAAATCAATTGTTAGTTGAATTAGATGGATTTTCACAGTCTCTGGGAATTATAATCATTGGTGCTACAAATTTCCCAGAAAGCTTGGACAAAGCCTTAACTAGACCTGGAAGATTCGACAAAGAAGTTATTGTTGAGTTACCAGATGTTAGAGGACGTATTGATATTTTGAAGAATCATATGGAAAACGTTGAAACTGCGGAAAACGTCGACCCATCTATTATTGCAAGGGGAACACCAGGTTTATCTGGGGCCGAGTTGATGAACTTAGTCAACCAGGCTGCAGTACATGCATCCCAATTATCAGCTCCTGCGGTTGATATGAACCATTTTGAATGGGCTAAAGACAAAATCTTAATGGGCGCAGCAAAGAAGAAAATGGTCATCACTGAAGAAGCTAGAAAGAACACTGCATACCACGAAGCGGGACATGCCATCATGGCCATGTTCTCGCAAGCTGCAACTCCGTTATACAAGGCCACAATTTTACCTAGAGGTAGAGCATTGGGAGTAACATTCCAATTACCAGAAATGGACAAGGTTGATATGACCAAGAAGGAATGCTTTGCTCGTTTGGACGTGTGCATGGGTGGTAAGATTGCCGAAGAAATGATACATGGGCCAGAAAACGTTACCAGTGGTTGTTCATCGGACTTGGCGAACGCCACCAGCGTAGCTCGTGCCATGGTCACATCCTACGGTATGAGTGAAAATATTGGGCCTGTCAGACTCAGTGACAACTGGGAGTCGTGGTCATCTAAGATAAGAGACATGGCTGATAATGAAGTCAGGGATTATTTGATTGCCAGTGAAGACAGAACTAGAAAGCTCTTGGGCCAAAGACAGACTGAATTGAAGAGACTCGCAGAAGGTCTCTTAGAGTATGAAACTTTGACTCGTGATGAAATGGAAAAAATAGTCCGTGGTGAACCTATAAATAAAACCAAAGTCATATCCAATACCGTCATAAAGTCGCCCTCATCGTCTCCTAGACCAGATATTCTCAGCGATCCGCCGTCGGTGCCTGTGGAAGCGTAAAGCAACCTCATCCTATGTAAATATATATTAATAAATCATTCCGTCCGTAATAGTATTTATCGATCTGTTCATCATTTGTAAGTTGCACGGCTACATCCTGAAACACGCTTAACTGTGCACCTGTCACTATTGCGTATTAGTCGCACCCCACTATGACCACCAATCACCCAGTGGATGTCCAGTGGATGGCTTACCGGTAGTAGATGATACCAGCCGAAGCCCGAGGGAACAGTCTGATATGTAATACCGACCAATCGAAACTCACCATATCCGGGTCTTGTCGCCATCTTTTAACAACTGTCTCTTCAAACCTAATATCTGTCATAGATCCATACACCGCATATCTCATTTACGCATGCATATTTGATCCAACATCCAGTCATCACCAGCGCTGTTCCCCTCTTTGATATGCAAACGACTTTTTTACTGATGTATTCATTTAGTATTAAAGACATGGTTTCAGGGCTAGCGAGTAAATTTGCTTTATGTTGTCCTTTAGGGTGGTCGCTTATGTACGTGCTTGTATACGATTTATTGCTCCCAAGCCAGAGTCATATCGTTTGACGTTATGCCATCAGAAGTATAATCCGGGTAATAGCCACCACGTGGGACCCTTATATCAACCGATTCGATTATTCGGTATTTAGAATGGTGATATAGTAGACGACGTTATAGTCTACGCAAACGGTAATAATCGTTGGGACTAAAGTGAATTAAATTTTTCGTCTTAGTATATTTTTATTACAGAAATTTGTTTAGACTTATTTATTACGCCAATCGTAAAAAAGCGAATTATTTTTTCTAGTGATTTCGTTATCGGCAGCGCCAGTTAAAGGTACATATTTGATAACAGGCAAAACATATAATGGAAACGACAGACTGGTCGAACACAGTTTATTCACCAGGAGTGAAGGGCGAAACAAGTCCGTATTTCCACGATTTGGAACATGATACAGCTGGTGGGCATGGTGTTCATGGTGCACAGCAGGCAACGAACCAGGCAACGAACCAGACAACGCCAAATTTTACAGAACACGATCAATATTTGCTAAACCAAATTGAACACAACTTGTACGAGGCCGCGTCAAATGGGACACCTGGTAGTTCAAATGGTAGTCATTTGAACGGAGCACAGAATACGCGTGTTGATGGTGGTGCTGGGAAATACGAGTTTGGGCTTGATAACTTGAATTTCGTATTACCCGAGGATATTTCGTACGAGCAGCAGTCGACCGCATACCCGCCATCAGCCTCTAGCTTAAACAACAACACACCTCATATGCTTGCTACGAATGTGAAAAGATCAACTAAACTGGTAGAAAATCCTAGAATGTTCATGTCACCGGTCCTTCCAGGTCAAAATGATAAATCATACAACAACCAGCATTTATATCATAAGTACCACAAGCATTCTGATGATACTCAGGCCTATGCACATCAACCACATAATCAACACGTCAGGCCTGACGCGGTTTTTACACCTTTGGAATCACCAGCTGTCACCCCACGAGAACAACAGGTAAATTCAAATAATTATCCCTACAACCCACCAGTACAAGCATCTTTTGAACCATTAACTTCTCCAGCTTTAGCTGCGCAACAGGCAGATAAGAGAAGATCTTCATCGGTATATGCGCCTACGGAGGATGGTGTACCTCATAAAAGAAAAACTCCACATGGTACTCCTATCTTGCACGCTAATGGCCCTCGTTCAAAGCGTTCGCCTTCAGTCAAACCTAGATCATCCCACAAATCTCTGACGAGCTCTCCGTTTGAGAAGTTACCTGAAGCGGGTGTGGAGCTGCAACGAAATAGTTCTGAATCTACTCCTATGCTTCCACCTCTGGGTAAGAAGGTTGACATTCCTAATAGTTCATTATCTGGCGAAGCGCCAGCTTCTGCGACCATGATGGGATTCACAATGAGTGTATTGGCAGAACAACAGCAAGAAGGATCGAATAGGAATAGTTCTCTGGATATGGTACATCGCACATCACTGAACGGTCAAACCAGAAACGGTTCAACATATGCGAATAATAACATACCGCATAAATCATCATCTTCGAGCGAGACGTCTCCGATGATGGGTCTGCAAGGAAGCGGCGAGTCGTCTCCTGCACTCACGAGAACGAAGTCCAGGTCTGAAAAGCCGACTGCGAAGAAAGCATCACATAAGTTAGCAGAGCAGGGTAGACGTAATAGAATGAATATGGCGGTCCAAGAATTGTCGAATTTGATTCCTCAAGCATATCATGATGAAATATCTATCCCTTCCAAAGCTACCACGATCGAATTGGCATCCAAGTATATTAGGGATTTGATAAAGGAGAATAACGAAATGAAATATTATAACCTTGAACGCTAAGTTTCCATAGTAACAAGATCACTGTTTATAAGATTATAAAGTTAATAAAGGAGGAATTATCAAAATGACACTTATGATAATAAGTTCTGATAACACTGGATAAATTTGCAGATACAGCTTTTTATTTATTTTGCAACGTTTCAATCTGTTATTAATTGTCTATTTACCTTATTTTAATTGGTTCTATATCTTTATGATTACATGTCTTCTAGTTTTATTTTACTTCTCTGAAGTTCAATGTCTTCAAATTTTTGCATTAAATTAACGTGAATGAGATGACCAAGTTGTTTTGCTTCAATTCTTTATATTTAACATTTCTACGATTTCAATCCATTCCAAATTAAACAGTCGTTGAATATTTATTATTAATTTAATGGATTCTATTCAATAACTAATGTTTTTACTGTGTATATAATATAATAATAGTCAACAATTGTACAAAGTAAAACGACTAATATGGA